GTGCATTTTATATTCCGAAAAATACGGTATATGCTACATATAAATAAAAGGGGGGGGGGAGGGGGAAGAACCATTATCAGTTTAAAGAAATTTTTTAAAAAAGACAAAATCAAGGTCCCCAATTAAAAACATCTCATGAATCTTAGACAACCACACCAGCGTGCCATTAACATGCGTGTCTTCACCTTATCAAAGGCTATGCAATGATAGAGACCATATCTTCTAGCCTGGCTTAGAACAATTCAATATATTGTACCGCAGATTACAATATGCCTTGAATCAGAACGTGAATAAAGAGATCTCTGCTCTTCATTGTAGGCCATTTTTTTTAAAAAAAATCTTTCCTTCTCCATTAGATGACTTGTCTGTGATCAAGAAACAGTGTTATGGGACCCAGAAGTACGAGCAGTGGGTTGTCGACATGCAGAAGAAAGCTGTGGTGTTACAGTGTAAAAATGCAGAAGAAGAGAGCCGAGTCTGCAGGGCTCTGTTTATTTGCATGCAGCACCTCCGGGTGGGTAACTTCCTTCTACTTGGGAAGCAACCATTTCTCTTGCCTTGTTGCTCTATTGCAGGGGCGTCAAACTCGATTTCATTGTGGAATGCATCAGGATTGTGTTTGACCTTGGGGGATGGTGGGCATGGCCTACTTGACATCACTCGTGTTCGGGGGCGCCTGTGAAATGCTCTGCCATTGAAAATGGGCTCCCGAGCTCCATTTTTGGCCGTGATGCTGGGTTGCGGGAAGATGTCGCAGCCAAAAACGGAGCTCGGTTGCCTGTTTCCACTGGCAGAGGCACCATGAGCTGATCCTTTGCTGTTTCCAAGGCGGTCCTGTGGGCCAGATCTTAGCACCCCACAGGCCAGACCCCTGCTCTATTGCCTTTGAGCTGTGTTTCTCCTGTCCTGTTTCCTGATGTTTGGCATTACTTTACTCAACGGTGTGTTAAGAGTACTTTGGTTTGTTAGTAGTATCAGAAGACTGCTTCAAACTAAACACCAATACATGCGTAACTCATCCTGTTCAAAATGACTGCGTTGTGTTCTGGATCGTTTTGCTTACTGTCAGGTACAGGTAGCCCTCAACGTACGACCACAATTGATCCCCAAATTTATGTCACTGAGTGAGAAATTTGTTTAGTGAATTTTGCCAGTCTAGTGAATTGGAAGGGCCTCTCCTTTGAAATGCTGCATTTTGGAGTTCAAATCCGTTGTTTTAGGTTTGAATGAGGCTGCTTTGATCTTTCAGAATGTGTCTTAAATGTGAAAGGTGATTGAACCAAGTCATTTGAATTTGGAATGATTCAAGTTTGAAATAGGTCACCTCGCTACAGGTAGTCCTCGGGTTACAATGGCAATTGGGACCAGGTCATAAAGGGTGATGTCACATAAGTTTGTGGCTTAGCTATTTCCAGTAGTCCCTATGGCTGTCATTAAATGAAGACCTCATGTGATTGTAAGGGCTTCCTCTCATGAGTGTTGTTTGCTGCCATGTTCTCAGAACAGCCTTTTTATGGTTATAAAAATAATATAAATTATATTTTTATCACAGAAATACAATGATGCCTTAATCATCAATGAAGATGCCCGAACCAAAGATGCCTTGGATTATCTGAAAGATTATTTTGAGGATATAAAAAATTGCTACTTTGATGATATTGAACAGCAGTTGGCTTCAAATTTTGAAGGTGCTTTATAGATATTTTAAAAAGGCTCACCATTCATGTTGCAAACACCTGTCTATTCCAACAAACTTGATTTTCAAAATTAATTAGAAGCAGTAAAGAATATAACATCACTAAGACTATCACTAAGATAATAAAGATTATCACTGATGATTCTTGATGAATGTATTTTATTTTTCCTTTATGTACACTGAGAGCATATGCACCAAAGACAAATTCTTTGTGTGTCCAATCACACTAGGCCAATAAAGAATTCTATTCTATTCTATTTTTAAAAATATAACAGTCCTGTCTTCCAGTAATACCTCAACCCTCATCTCTGTCTGTCTGTCTGTCTGTCTGTCTGTCTGTCTGTATCCATCTGTCTGTCTATCTATCTATCTATCTATCTATCTATCTATCTATCTATCTATCTATCGGCATTAAACGAAATGCAACTATACATGTTGAAAATAAGGGGCTGGTTGTGAACAAAATAGGAAGTTGTGTTGGCTGCCTAATTTTATCATTTTCAAGTGCGGGTTCATATGGTTGATTGCTGATCTTTTACCAGTTAGTTCCCTGTATCATAGAAAACTGGAATGGCATGGAAAAGGCTACTGTAGTTTTGCAGTCATAACTTTACGATTTTTTTGGTCATATTATTAAGTGGGTATTAAGTGATCATGCTTGCCTCACTGAGAATTAGGTCAAAACATAGAACAGACCAGTGCTAAGGAAGGAAGAGAAGAGGGAGGGGGAGAGAGAGAACTGGTAAAACTTTTATCATAAACCAGTTCCAAGAATTTAAAAAAAAAAATCGTGATCCATATTGCCCTGGATGAAAGGTGAAATGCAAAATTATTGTGGATGATTTTTGAATCCTTTATTAATGCAGCTAACTACCTATATAAACAAATACAATAAAATATAATTACTTATCTATATGGTGTTAGGTTATAGTTTTGTCAGGGAAGATGTCCCTTTCCTTATCCATCCTTAGATAATTGCATTTTTTTTTCCTCCCAGTCAATTTGTCAGAACTCACTGCTGCTTCCGAGGATGAATCAAATGAAAACCCTAAATTGGAAGATATTCGAGAGATTTTGGAAGAGGCATATCATGTCAATCCTGAGACACGCACTATTCTCTTCGTGAAGACAAGAGCGCTGCTGGCAGTAAGAAACTCTTCCAATATGGAGGAAGCGGGATTTCCCCCCGTTTTCTGCTATGTGTAGCTTAGCATTTAAGATCAGTTCACCTGTGTTTTGAGGTGTGGAGGGAATTTCCTCTGGAATGGGATTACAATGCACACTTCTAACTAGCTGGTGAGCTGCTGAAGGCTTTCTGCTCAGCTGGTAGCATCATAAGAATGGATAGGGTCAATTTTGGCATCACTTTCCTCTTGTTTTTGTTGTTACGGTGTTGGTGATGAAAAAGAAATTACAGATAAGTCCTCAGGTTAGGATAGAAAATGGGAGTGGAAAATTAAGGAATGTGCTTATTATTATTATTAAAATGTAACACTATAAAGATATTTCCAAAGGTTCTGTGATGATGTACAAAGGGCTACACATACAATCATGCCAGCCAAATTAAACTTGGATCCCTATGATCACAAGTGAATTTTACAGGCATTGAAGAACTGGATAGAAGAAACGCCTGAACTTCAGTTCTTGAAGCCACAGACGCTGATGGGACGTGGGAAAAGAAACCATTGCACAGGTGAGGCAACTTGGATGGACTGTATAGGCTAGGGACGGGTGGTGTACTGGTAGTCCTCAACGTATGGCAGGGGTGACAAATTCAAGGCTTGGGGGCTGGATCCAGTCCGGGGGGGGGGGGGGCTTAGATCCAGCCCGCAGGTCTGCCCTGGAAACAGCAAAGGACTGGCCCGTGATGCCTCTGCCAGTGAAAACAGGCTCCTAAGCTCCATTTTTAGCTTTGCTGGGCCCCTACAACCCTCTGTCAGCAAAAATAGAACTTGGGAGGGCCGCCGAGCTAATGGGGGGGGGGTGTCACTGTGCCCTCATGTTCTGGCATTCTTTCTCCTATACCACACTTCCAAGCAATGCGCTGCAACTTAATTAAGAACTTGAAACCTCTGTGTTGTATTTTATGAAGTAGAGATTCTCACCAAAGTTAAAGTCAGGGGTCCAAGTAATACATCCGTAGCAGACAAACCTCTGAGGCAAGCAGTTCCTCAAAGAATAGTTTTATTGGATATATCATATTGGCACAGTTCTGGTGAAAACTGACTCTGAAGGTTCCTGTGGTTTTTATCTAATTAAAAGTAAAAAAAAATCCCCTTCCCCAAACAATCAGTCATGTGGTCCAATCAAGGCGCTGTCTGGCTGCCTGGTGACATCACTCCGCCTTCCTCTGACCAGGTGTGAGAATGCCCTTGGTTCCCAAGAGAAAGTATTTTGTTTTGGCTACAAAACTCCAGCTATCTCTATTCACACCCCCCACCTCACACCCTTCCCTCAGCTCTCATGTAGTTACACTGAAAGCCTCAAAATGGCTGCGGTCAGGTCAGCTTCAGGGTTGACACCTGGGTTCTTTTATCACTCTGTACTTTTTCTTGCGCACCCTCTGCAGACCCGGGATAAGGGCAATATTTGTAGGATTGATACTCTGGTTTCTCCTTTATCACCTCTCTCTTCTTAGGCATGACCCTCCCAAATCAAAAAGGCACTTTAGATGCCTTCAAAATCAATGGGGACAGCAAGCTGCTAATAGCAACTTCAGTGGCTGACGAAGGGATCGATATTGTTCAGTGCAACCTGGTCCTACTATATGAATACACAGGCAACATCATCAAAATGATACAAGTCAGAGGTAGGTTGGTGAAACGGATGTTTTAATTACAGGCAGTCCTCGACTTACGACCACAATGGAGTCCAACATTTCTGTTGCTAAGGGAGGCATTTGTTATGTGAGTTTTGCCCCATTTTACGACCTTTCTGGTCACAGGTGCTAAGTGAATCGCTGAAGGTGTTAAGTTAGTAACCGGATGGTTAAGTAAATCTGGCTTCCCCATTGGCTTTGTGGATCAGAAGGTTGCAAAAAGTGATCACCTGACACCTTGCAACCGTCGTAAATATGAACCAGATTGCCCAGCTTCTGAATTTTGATCATATGACCATGAGGATGCTGCAAAAATTGTAACTGTGAAAAACAGTTGTAAGTCACTTTATTCAGTGCCATTGTAACCTTGAAGGGTCACTAAATGAACTGTTTTAAGTCGGGGATTACCTGTATGTTAACTGAAGGTCATGCATATCCACCTTAGGATGAAATGCTATCAGATACATAGCAAACAATACTTTATTTGGGCTTATTATGCAAACACAAAAGTGCTTTTGATATTGGAGGCATTATGTAATGCTTGGAACCAATTGTTGGACTTCTCCAATCCAATTCCACATAGTCCTCAATTAATGACCAAAAGTGGGAGCAGCCTCTTTATCATTAAGCAATGCCATAAAGCAAAAAAAAAAAATCATGACTCCGCTATAACTTTCAGCAGCAGTTTGGGCAATTCTGGTATCTGTCATTAAGTGTGATGTCATCTGATTATGATTTGTGGTTTGTGATTGTGATTTGTGGTTTGTGATTATGATTTGTGGTGCGAAGCCAGCTTGCCCTCGGCTGGCACATCTTAGGAAGCACGCGAGCGTCTTCTAAAATAAGGCTGGTACATTGGCAGCCAAACTATTAGTCTGCAATAGCATTGTAGTCTCCTGGCCAATGTAACAAACAGCATACATTGTTAATAAGAATAATAATACTGTGATTTGTGATTTCTTGCCAGCTTCCCCATTGACTTTGCTTGTTGAAAGTTGGCAGCAAAGGTTGCAAATGGCTATCATATGACTGGAAGACGTTGGTTACCATGTGCCCAAGTCACAATTGCATGACCGTTGAGATGCTGCAACTTTGAGCACCCATTGTAAATCTCCTATTTTAGCGTTGTTGTAACTTTGAAAGTCACTGAATGTGTATTTGCTAACCAAGTACTTAACCTGTATTCCTTGTCTGGGGGCCATCATTAAAAAATTACCTGGGTAATATTCAGTCAGTGTTCAGGTCTAGGCCTGGAACCGTTAACAGTTTTGTCCAATTTGGCTTGATAACTTTCATAAGGATTTGCAGTGAGTGAGTAAGTGCACCTTTTGTTCCTTTTAAATCCTTTCAGCAATTTTCAGTGATATCAACCACGATGTCTTTCTGTACTTCCTATAAGAGTTTCTGTTTTAAATAGTTCAGTTCTTTTATGAGTGGATGTGCTGTAGGGGTTTGCCTTCTCTATCCCATCTCCCACTTTTCAATAGTGTCATGAAGTGAATAACACTCAGGTGTATATCTCCATCCTGGGCTGGGCTAAACTTGCTATAAAGGTCAGTGGGTTCAGTGGGAAGAATTAAATTGAATCACATTTAAGATAGAAGTCTAAAAGCCAATTGGCCCTTAACTGCTTTGGTTGTAATTCTGGATAGCATAGCAATTCATCTCGTAGAGCAAATCTGTAACCTGAGAATCTTCCTAGATTTTGTAGTCATTGGTAAATAGACAGAGGCCATGACTAGATGAGTCTCTTGTAATGTCCATTATGGCTTCACTCGAAGGAGGCCTTGGCAACAATTATCCATCACTTTATCATGGAGAGGAAGGGATTGTAAGAGAGTAATTTGGCACGCAAAGGGGAACACGCTGGACTGTTCGTTAAACGTGCTTGTGGTTGCTAGAGCTGGCACCTTTCTCTCAATGTGTATTCCCCATTATGCTAACTCTTACAATTCTGCCTCTTCAATTAATGTTAAGTACAAATGCTAGTTCTCTTCTTGGTAATTATCCCAGACTGAGGTGAGCATTGAAAAGGGCAGGGGAGTTGGGAAAAGGGAAAGCTGAAGTAAAATGGTTGTGAGGCAAATAAAACATAAAGGTGTGAAATTGAACAAGTCTTTGCAGTTTCAAGCTAGAAAGCACAATCTTGGTCATGCAATTTCTCACCTCGTGATCACTTCCCTCAGCGATGGAAGTGCTAGTCTCTATTGTGGTCACTAAAAAAAAAAAAAAACCTACCTGTAATGTGCCATCACCAGGTCGTGGAAGAGCAAAAGACAGCAAGTGCATTCTTGTGACGAGCAAAAAAGAAGAGGAAGAGAAGGAGAGATACAATTTACAAAAAGAGAAAATGATGAACAAAGCTATTGAAGAGGTACAGAGTTGGGATGAAAAGAAGTTTGCAAAGAAGGTGAGCAGTTTTATAACGAGGGTTCCCTTCATGTCCCATTCAGCCAAGGGGGGGAAATTCTGTACTTTTTGAGCCAACACTGTTCAAAGACAGAATGGCTGAACCTGCAGTTTTTCTAACTTTGCTTACAAGGTTTGGTTGTCGTTTATTTATTTTCAGGATGGTTGAGGGTGGGGTGGGAGGTGGGGAAGGTTGATTCAGGACAACATTCCTGGCCCCTTGAGAGCAGTTGGTGCCTTGTGACCTGAATTCCATCTTTCTCTCTTCACCTCAGATAAACGAGTTGCAAAAGCAGCAAATAAAAATGCTAGCTTCCAAGAGAAAAACAACAGAACCCAAACCCTGGAAAGACAATCTAGTCCTTTTGTGTGGGAAATGCAAAACCGAGGTCTGCAGCACGGAGGACCTCCGGGTGATTGAGGTAACCTGCTGTTGCTGCCTTCGCTTTACAGTGCCTTTTTGGGCCGGATGAGTCTTGGAGGGTACAGATCAGCCATGTTTCCGTTCACTTCTGAATGAGGCCTGATTCAGTCCAAGTCTGTGATTTGAATTTCAAGATTTGAACTGATAAAAGCTTTATCCATAGCCAGTGGTGGGATGCAACCGGTTTAACAACTGGTTCGGTGAGCCCGTGCGCAGCATTAAGAAAACCACCCATTTTAAGCTTAAAAACTTACCTTCTAATGTCAGTGCTGGTGAGTAAAACAGCTGAGGCGTGGCAATCTGCTGTGCCATGGGAATCAGCTGAGCTAAAATACAGCGAAATATAGGACAGGAAAGGGCAGGTGAATGAGGCCAACTCCTCACTGGAACTACCAGTTTGCTAAAACAGGTGCGAACCGGTTAGAATGCCACCACTGTTCATAGCCTATAAAGCAGGAAAAATATATGCCTGCATCTGCTTAATCGTTTGGCAGAACAAAATGAAGATCACAATGATAGAGGCTTTAGAGAAGTGTTACTTAAAACATTTCTCTCTGGATTCCTTCCTGTTTTTAAAATTTTTGGAGCACTCTTCCCCCCCCCCTCTCTTTTTGTTTGTATGGGTTATATTTATTGAAATTAATCATATTGAAAATTAAAATTGTCCCATTTGCTGCCATTTCTGTTCCTCACACTTTCTTGATGGGATTTTAATATTACATTATTTTTCAACAGGCTGGCAAATAATTTTGATTTTGCAGATTCCTGAGTAGTTCTTCAGGGCTCTTCAGACCATACTTTAAAAAATGCAGCTTCAGAGGACATCATGCAAAGTTTCAGCTGGAAAGTGTTAAGGCTTTCTTTGCTTTATGCAGTATTTTTAACTGTTTCTCTGCCCTTTATAATAGAGGTGTCAGGACTAGGGTGCAGGAAACACAGCAAATAAAAGGTATTGATTTGATTTTTAAACTTCAAGTATTTACCCAAGGATTAAATTTTAAAAAGGTTGTTAAATCAAATCTTTCAGTTGAAGAATTCCTTTAAAGTTTGGTTATATTTACACTAAAAGGAGTGAAAAAAAAAATAAACATTTACCTTGACTTGTCAAATTGGAAGGGTAAATCTTAGTACTTTGTACTTCTGGTCATAGTAAGAACATTTTAAGATGCCCAGCCTTTGGGTTACACATATACAGTAAGTAGGTGGGAGTGTCACCTATTGGTAAATGGAACTCTAGCATTCTAGTCCCTTGGGAGTGTCACCTATTGGTAAATGGAACTCTAGCATTCTAGTCCCTTTGAAGTGGTCAGACTGATCAAGGGTAATTGTTCCTACATTGTATGTATGTATGTATTATACACACACACATACATATATGCATTTTTCAATTAGACTGTGAATGCACAATAGAGATTTCAAAATATATTTTGAAGTCTTCTGCCATTCCATCAAAAAAGTAGCCAGTCTCTCTCCCCCCCCAAAAAAAACCCCTCCCCAAATTTTAAATGTTTCATACATTCATTCTACATCTTGTGGCTTTCATGGTGTAGGCAGTAAACAGGAAGGATCATCAAAGGCTTGATTTTAAGGTCTCAAAAGCCATGTGATCTCCATGCAAACTCATAACCCAACAAATTCCACAAATCCCAAAGACCAGAAACAAAAGCACTTGTGGACACGATCCAACAGATAAATTGCATTGCAGATTTCTAGAAAATCTCATCCTTCTCCCAAACTATTTTGGTGAGCAGGGCAACAAACTATATGGGCTAAGGGTAAACTCTTCAAAAAAAAGTATTTATTTTAAAAAGCAAACTAAATGGGCTCAAAGGAGTCATTCACAGATTTTTTTTTTCCTGTGTCAATTTCACATAAAGACGCATTTCTGAATTCCTGCTACAAGGTGAAGCTTGGAATTTATCCAGTCCTAAACAAAACCTGAGCTAGTCGAATGCATTCATCACGAGAAAACCCTTCTTTACATTCAGCTGAAAGAAACTTGGCTTTGCCATATCAGAATTAAATGTTGGAAGTGGAACTCTAGAGGATAAATGGAGCTGCTTTGACTGCTGTGGTTGAGAAAATTGATAACTGAATATGCACTTAATATACCAAGAGGTTATGATTGACCTGAAAGCATGCAGCCTTAAGATTTTTGACTAATCCATTTATGCTATATTCTGTGCTGTGTTCATTCTAGGAGTCGCACCACACGGTTTTGGGCGAGAAATTTAAAACACGGTATATCACAAAACCTCATAAGGCAGCACGCAGCTACGGGGATTTTGAGAAAAAATTCAAGATGCATTGCATCATTGACAGTTGCCATCACGACTGGGGAATCATTGTGAAGTACAAGACCTTTGAAGACATGCCCATCATTAAAATTGAGAGTTTTTCTGTGAAGGATGTTGTTAGCAACAGGCAGAATCATTTTGGAAAATGGAAGGATGTTGATTTTGCAGTGAAAGACCTTGATTTTGAAGAGCTATCTTACTGAAGTACGGTCTATTCAAACTTTATAATCTTGCATGCCCTAGTTAATTCTATTTTAAAGTCAAATTGGTAACAGATCCTATTGACTTTCCACTTACTCCAGTGTAAAAATTCAAACTCCAAGTAGCTGTGACATCTGATTCTTAGTACGCTTCCAGTATTCAGTGCTGCTTCAAAAAAGCTGAAATGTTTCCACTGCTGTCTTTTGTTTACGCAAACTAATAATAAATGTACATATTTGAAACTTTAAAGGGTCCTTGGTTGCTTGTGGAGGCTGTGGGAGTAAGGGGTTGTTTTTAAATTATAGCTGTACTTGGCTATTTAAAAAGTTAGGGACATATAGCGGAGGATATTCTAAGACGTTTGAGGTTGAGCTAGAACCATCCTTAATAGTAATAGTTAAAGCCAAGTTTTCATCCTTCAGATTTAAGATTAAAGATATTATATAAATTCGTTTATATTTCTATTGTATTATATCCACTGTTAGGATCCATTGCTGTTGCAACCTTTTATTGCTTGGAATCCCAAAACATGTTCCTTTCTGCTAAAGCAAAGGAGAATTTATTTAATCTTGAACTTCTGTTTCAGAATTCACATGCGACCGAATGCAAACAAAGTAAAATCCACGAAAGATTCTACTCGTTTTTGAAAACAGGCTTGTTACAAATAGCTTTAATCCTGCGGTCCCATGAATGAAGGCGTCATAAGAATGAAGTGCACATATGCCAAATAATAAAGAGCCGAGTCATTTAATCATTTTTGCAGTATTAAAATTTCAAGGAGGGATTTTGATAAGCGCTTTTAATGCAATAGTGCTGGGTTAGTAACTTCTGAGGCAGGCAGGCAGGAAAAGGAACTGGTACTGTTAATGGCTGTATAAAATGTTGAAAAGAATCTAGCCTCCACATATGTAGGTGAGAAAAGTTTTTTGTTCCATCTACAAGTACAAAATAAATGGATGAAAAACAGTACTGTAGAAAGGAGTAGTTCAAAAATACACATAAATCAGACAAGCGGCCAAAGGGTTGACAGTGTAAAAAACCCTTTACAAGCCTTTCCCTTCAATTCTGCTGAAATCACATCCCCCCAGGAGCACCAGCCAGCCCAGAAAGTGGACTTTGTAGTCCTAATAAGCTGGGGAAAACTGCACATAATTCTCTTGTTACTGTATATTTTGGTTTTTTTTTTCTCATAATTACAGCATTTATAATTCTGATCCTTTGTCCTTTGAAAAAGGGTTTTTTTGGATATGAGCAGTGCTTCATTTGGGGGTTAAGATGCCATTTTGCGAATCATATAGTTCAAGATGCCGCCATTACGAAAATAGGTGAGCTCCACGTCTGTGTCAAACCTCATGATGGCTTGAAAAGTTTTTCCTGTGTCCAACTGTGGAGAGAACATAGAGAACAAGGAGGATTAAGGAAAAGTACAATGGTTTTCAGTTCACACAGGGACTTTTAAAATAGAAATTATGCCAAAGCTCCAAAGAAATAGGATCTCCTTGGAAATAACATTACGTCACCGCACATTATTTTGGTGTGTCCCATTGCAAGAAAGCTCTCCTAACGTCTTAAATGAGCAATCTGAGGGATGGGGAACATGAAAACCATGTTCAAATGTGCACACACAATATTTCAACAACTGTCAAGGGCTCACATTACCTATTCCTGCAACACCCATTGTTAGAACGCTCATCTTACATGCAGACCATCCCATTCAACCCAGTGCGAAAAAGTTGTTTTTCACTGAATTTAAACCTCTTTGTTTATTCTGGAAGTCTGAACAGGGCTTCAGCAGCATCAGAGAATAGGCTGTCCCCCTCTTCTTGGTGGCAGCTTTTTAAATATTGGAATACTGCTATCATATCTCCCCTTTTCACTAGATGAGACAAACCCAATTCCTGCAACTATTCTTCATATGTTTTAGCCGCCGATCCCCTAATCATCTTTGTTGCTCTTCTCTGCACTCTTTGAATTTAATCCAACTTGCTTCAATAGAAACAATAGCTTCCATGCACAGGAATCTTGATTTCTCACATTTTAACAATAGCAATAGCACTTAATAAGTCTTAAGACTGTAAACTGCTTAGAGCCCCCTCTAAGCAGTTTACTGAGTCAGCACATTGCCACCAACAATCTAGCTCCTCATTTTACTGATTTTGGAAGGATGGAAGGCTGAGTCAAGCTTGAGCAGGTCAGGATTGAACTTGTGGCAGTGAGCAGCGAGTTAGCCTGCAATACTGCCTTCTAACCACTGTGCCACCATGGCTCTTTTATAAAAGCTGCAAAGCAACAAGCCAAGTTTTCCTCAAGAGGGCAATAGGACTTTGTAAGGGAATGTGACTTAAAACCCTAGATTATTTCGATACACAAAGACTTCTAATATTTTCAAGCCATCACTCCTTGAAATCTTGCAAGAGCACCAAATCATAAAAAGATTTGAACGATTCAAAGTCAATTCAAGGTCTTGTTCAGACTCCAAATTTTGTTCCTTAAGTCCGACACACAGCCCCCTCACATAACTGCACATCCTTCATGTGTGCAAACACAGAGACACACACCAACACACTGAGCGTCGCGAGATTAAAATAATGCAACCCCTGGAAACGCTTACTTTGATCTGGATATTCATTCCAGGCATCAGGTCCTCCGGAATAAGGATTGTGTAACGTTCCCGCCCTGTCAATCCTAGAGACTCTGCATCCTGGCCGGGGAGATACTGTAGCGGGATGACTCCCATGCCCACCAGATTACTGCGGTGAATCCTCTCATAGCTTTCTGCAAGAACTGCTTTGATACCCTGAGGAACACACAAGGGCACACACAAGGGCATTAATAGTCCAATAAAAAAAAAAAAGTTGTAGAAAAGAAGTGGCTAATTATTTGCAGGGCAACTATGCAGACAAAAGGCTTCATGTCCATTCTTAACACCTCTAGGTAAAGTTAAAGATAAAGGTTCCCCTTGCACATACGTGCTAGTTGTTTCCGACTCTAGGTGGCGGTGCTCACCTCCATTACAAAGCCTAAGTGCCAGCGCTGTCTGAAGATGTCTCCATGATGTGGTCGGCATGACTAAGGCGCATGGAACGCTGTTACCTTCCCACCAAAGTGGTCCCTATTTTTCTACTTGCATTTTTACATGCTTTTGAACTGCTAGGTTGGCAGAAGGTGGGACAAGTATCTCTTCCCACTTATGACTCTAACCGGGTTGCTTGTATCTTTACAATTTATATTGTTTTATTTGTTTCCTAGTATGATTTGGTTGCTTATTAGTAACCTATGACTATCACTAAAGTATTGTACCTTATGATTCTTGATGAATGTATTTTTTTCCCTTTATGTACACTCAGAGCATACGTACCAAGGACAAATTCCTTGTGTGTCCAATACATTCATCAAGAATCATAAGATACAACACTTCAGCGATAGTCATAGGTTACTAATAAGCAATCAAATCATACTAGGAAACAAATAAAACAATATAAATTGTAAAGATACAAGCAACATGGTTAGAGTCATAAGTGGGAAGAGATAGGTAATAGGAAGGATGTGAAGAATAATAGTAATACAGACTTCCTAAATAGTTTGACTGTTGTGGGAATTAGTTGTTTAGCAGGGGATGTTGATTAGTTTTGAAAAAAAAAATAATGAGGGGGAAATATTTGACAGCATTTTAAACTGTTTACAGTTGTGAAAAGAAAGAAAGTTGAGAACTGTTTTCTATGGCCCCATAGAATTACAGGTAGTTCTTGGCTTATGATCATAATTGAACTCCCAATTTTTTGTTGCTAAAGCGAGATAGGTTCGTTAAGAGAATTTTGCCCCGTTTTATGACTGTTCTTGCCACAGTTGTTAAGTGAATCACTGAGGTTTTTAACTTAGCAGCACAGTCGTTAAGTGAATCTGACTTCCCCGCTGACTTTGGTTGTCAGGTCACAAAAGGCGATCACTTGACCCCAGGCGACTGCGACCGTTTATAAATATGAGTCAGCTGCCAAGCGTCTGTGTGCAAAAACGATCCTAAGTCATGTTTTTCAGCACCGTTGTAATTTTGGGTGCTAAATGAACTGTTGTAAGTTCAGGACTACCAGGTAAAATAAACGTCAACGTACAAGGCTATAGCTGAAAAAAATTCCTAGCAAAAACAGGTGTTTCACCCAGAGAATGAATAGAGAACCAAAAACGGAAAGCAGGAGATGGACTCCATTGGTTCATCCAAACCTATGATGCTTTGAAGCTTCCTCTTACTAAAATAGGCTACTCACCAGCAGGAAAGGCCCCTTGGCAGCCCAGTCCCGGGAGCTTCCTGAGCCATATTCCTTGCCGGCCAATATGATAAGTGGGTGGTTGGCTTGTTGGTATCTCTCAGAAGCATCAAATACGTCCAGCTAGAGAGACAGAATGCAATGGAAGCTCAATTAGTGAAGCAATGTCTCCTGTCAGAGATTCCTTCCTTCTATCCCTGTGGTAGATACTAACTCATTAACTCTTGTAGTGTAACACCTTTTAAACTAAGACGTGACAATAAAAAATAATGAACTATGAAAGCACAATTGGCCTTTCCCTCATTCATTTGACTCATGAAATTAATGATCCCTGTTATCTCTACAATTCATGCTGTAGAGATAAAAGTGGCATTTCCCCTTTTCTGTCTTACACATTATTCATGAAGGGTCCTTGGCGCTCTCTGAGCTTGGCTGTTTTCTTGAAGACATTTCATTACCCAAACTAGGTAACATTATCAGTGCTAGTAGGGAATGGGGTTTTCTCTCACGTTATATTCTAGTGCCTTGCCCTGTCCAATGTTGGTGGGGGTAGTTTTGGAGGTTCTTTATTGGGCTGCTAATTGTTACTTGTTTGGCAGTTGCTTGATTGAATATTGTTTACTTCTTGTTTGTCTGATGTTAATCTTGGAGTTAATCTATGCTCATCTAGGTGTTGATTGCTGGTGTTTGGCAGTCCCAATCAAGAAACTACCAAACCAGTTAACAGTAAACAGCAACCAAAGAACCTCTAAGACCACCCTCCACCAACACTGGTGAAAACAAACCCCACTCCCCAGCGAACCGGTAGCTCCAAGGATCAGCAGGAAGCAAACCAATTAGGCTTGCTCCGATGATCAGCTGTTGGGCCCACCCGCCGGCCTGGGTTCTAGGCTGTGCTTTATATTCTGTTTTTCAAGCTCAGCTGATTCGCGCGGCACAACAGATTGGCGCACATCCGCTGTTTAACACACAGGGATTGCTGGAGAAGGTCAGTAGCAAATGCTCTGTGTGCGCGCGAAGCACGAGTTTGGCGTGCCTGCTCACCAAACTGGTTGTTACACCAGTTGAATCGCACCCCTGCCACTCCATACTGGCACTGCTGATGTTTACCCAGTTTGGGTGATGAAACGTCTGCAAGAAGAAGACACAAGCTCGTAGAGTTATTCGTTCTTTTTTAAGGTCATGTCTTGGTGTGAAATGCATGGGGACATATATTTATTTATATATTTATCCTTGCACTTTAAAATCAAGGTGACCAAGAGATATACATGAATGCCAAGTCGTTCAGCTCTAGCCAGCCTGATTTCCCACACTTCAACGGAAGCCCATCAAGCATGCAAGCAAAAGCCATCTCTCCATGGTGTTATTTTCATAACAGGAAAAGATCCAAAATCACTTTGAATAAGGTTTCTGGAGGAGGTAGGTCCAAGAGTTGGCACATGTACCACGGGAGTCCATTCATGGAAAATATGTACAGAATTTTCACCAGCGTCTATGTTATGCGCTATTACTGAACACGTAGTAACTAAACGCAGAATATTTCTTCTAAGGGGAACTCCTGGTTTTTATACCTATCTACAAGAGCCTCCTAAAGCCCTAGATCACTGTGCTAGATGAGCACACTGCAGCCTACTAAGTACAATAGATTGAAACTTCTGCCTGAAAGGAGACAATCCCGCAGCAGCAGAAAAGCCCAAACTACAAGGTGAAGGGGGCTAAACCTAAGGCTGGGAGGGAAAATACTTACAGTTTCATCAGACGGGAAGTGGATAGTTTGCGGGGCCTGCTTCTTAAGGAATTTGTTAAATAGGCGTATGTTTGCAAATGTTCCTCTTGCCATGACAGCATCATTGCCCCGGCGCGAACCGTACGAGTTGAATTCTCGAGGGGTGAGACTATCAAGATGCAAAAGAGGCACGTCTTAGTATTCAAAATTCCCAAAGGTTTGATACTGTTTCCCCCCCAAAATACGACCTACCCTGAAAGTAAGTCCTAGCTTGATTCTTACACGTGTACCCAATATAAGCTCTACCCCGCAAAATAAGCCCTAATTAAGATCCCGCCCACTCCAGAGTGCATGGGTAAAAATTAAGCAAGGGGGTGGAGCTGCCCTACTACTTACCTTTGGACAGTTATAGTCAGGCCTCGCGCACCCCGACACCTGCCTTGCCGGCCCATTTCTTCTGCAGCCAGCAAGGCTTTCCTAAAGGCCTCTGTAGCTGATACCAGAGCCCCAGATCGATTTGGAGCTCTGTTATTGGCTGCAGAGGTCTTCAGGAAAGCCTTGGTGGCCACAGAAAAAGAAGTTCCTAAAGGCCTCTGACAGCAAAAAGGAGGCCGGGAGCAATGTGTGCAAGTGAGGTTAGTCAGTGGATGACACCCCCTGAAAATAAGACCTGGTGCCTTTTTTGGTGGCAAAAAATAAATAAAAGACAAGGTCTTATTTTCAGGGAAACACAGTAAATAAGCAGAGAGATTTCTCTTCAGCACTGGCAGTAGTTACACAGACCCGGTAACTGGGTTCTAGATGTTGCTGTTGAGATCTACAACTGAACAACTAAATGATGGCAAAGAGAGTAGGTAGAATTTCTTTGTCCAAAAAGAATTCCTCTACCTCACGGGGGCATTGACTGGACTCACCTTCTGCTAGTCAAGTAACGGGCAGCCGGACTGTTTCTTGCTATATTCCCTGCAGGAGAGATATGGTCAGTTGTCACAGAATCACCGAGATTCAGCAGGACATAGGCATCCACTATAGATTTAGGGGGATGAAGCTCCAGGGTCTGAGGGGAAAAAAGATCACCCAAAAAGGGTCAGGTTTGTCTGTCAGGCATATAAATGAGGACTGGTTTATGAGAACAGAAATATACCGAGCTTCCATTTTCTCTAAAGTATCTAAGAACTGGACATTCTTTTTTTTAATTTTTTTTTAAAATAAAGTTTATTTAAGTTTCATACATTTAAAACATTTTAAAAAAAACCATACAAACATATAAACAAATATATGTACACACGTACATTTTGCAGCAGGTATTGAGCATTGGTTACACTTTTCTTTTTTTCTTTTACCCCATAACATTGACGTGATCTTCCTTGTTACAATACCTTCCTCGTTCTTTTAATGTTTTAATTTCACAGAATACTTTATGATTAAACGTACATCCTCCATAGTTTCATATTATTAAAGGGAAACATTCCCTCGCACATGCGTGCTAGTTGTTTCTGGCTCTAAGGGGCGGTGCTCATCTCCGTTTCAAAGCCAAAGAGCCAGCGCTGTCCGAAGACGACTCTGTGGTCATGTGCCCCGCATGACTAAAAGCCGAAGGTTCACGGAATGCTGTTACCTTCCCACCAAAGTGATCCCTATTTTTCTACTTGCATTTTTACATGCTTTTGAACTGCTAGGTTGGCAGAAGCTGGGACAAGTAATGGGAGCTCACTCCGTTATGCGGTGCTAGGGATTCGAACCGCTCAATTGCCGACCTTTTGATCGACAAGCTCAGCATCTTAGATGCTGAGACACTGTGTCCCTTCTTAATCATATTGGAAAAATCTAAATGTACATAACCTTTCTTTTTTCTCACTTTGGGCTATTTTGCCTAGAATTTTGGGGGAAATGTCAAATTCTAGGAACACTGGTGTTTTAAAAGAATAGCTAAACTAGCTATTCCCAAAAGCAAATACAAAGCAATTCGTGTAGATAATTCCCTAACCAGAGTTACGAATTTGGAGGGGAGGGCAGTCAGAGGTTCACCCCCCCCTCCATTTCCACCTTTTCTCCTGCATCCAAATAATCTAAAGATTATAAACTGAATGTGTTATTCAATCAGAGCACTGACCTAATTAGAAGATAATCTAGTTACTTGAAATACTTTTGCAAATGTCAAAGCTTTATTTCCTACTAATGAATACTCATTTTAGTGATCCTCCCTCCCTCCCTTCGTTCCTTCCTTTCTTCCTGAGACGTCTAATACTTCACACTTTGTTACTAGACAGGCTACTTTTGTTTATACTTTACAAAACTTTTAGAGAAACTTAAAAAGAAACCTGAAATCATTTAAACAAACCACAACCCAGAAAGCATGTTTGTCAGCAAATTCATCAAAAGGCCACGAAAAGAGAATTACCAGGTTTTCAAAAAATGGAGGAGATTTAATATATGTGGATTTTGGATTCCAAGCATATAGTTTGTCTGATGAGACATCTAGGTCATTCCAGGATTTGTTTACTGTCTAGAAAAATTAAAAGAAAAAAGATACAAACATAGCAAATGTCAATTTTCTAAATCCCTTTATCTCTAGCCTATGAATAAACAAGCAATGTGAGAAAAAAAGTTCTTTTTGATTCAGAGACACATGAAAACAAATGCAGATTTATGCTTATTGTTCAATTTCTGAACTAAAGGCTCCATTCTTTTACCCATTCATCTAGCCATGCCTATTTTTGCCAACTCAGTCTGACCTGGTTAAGTTTGAGACCAGGAGAATCAAGTAGCATCCCTATTTAGAATGTTCCTTCTCATAAAAGTTTCTGACAAAATTTCATTGGGTCCAAAAAGGTTTAAAAAGTGCATCAAAGTTTGGCCAATCCCATATTGGCGCTTTCGTTGTCTTTCTGGTGATTTTTTTATTAGAATATCATGATCTTACCCAACTCACAAGTGAACTCTCTCTTGTTTTGTGGGAACCTTTATGAAGTTTTAACTTACAAGTAAGAAGAAGCAAATGTACACCAGAGCAAAGGCAGAAAGCACAATTTAATACTGAGTATTACCTCTATTTTCTGGTAGACCTCTTTAAACATTCCTGGAATTACATGTTGACGTTCAATGGCTTGGATCTCCTCTCTCAGAGGCCAAATATCCTTCAGAAAGATCTTTTTGCCTTGTGCGTTGACACCTGCAATTCATGGAACACCGGTTTTCAGCAGGCACCCTACTAACTTGTCCTCCACAGAGGCACAATGAGCTGAACTGGATCTCATTTTCTATAACCAGGTTGATCCCTTCTCCATGAACATAAACCCTATATACATACGATGATTAAGGAATACAGAGAAATATGGAGAATAGTCTTATGATCCCAATCAGGGGTGGGCTGCTGGGGTTTCGCAGGGATTCAGAGGAGCCCCTAGCTAAGATTCTGTGCAGTTTGAAGAACCCCCAAATCCCACTTCTGGCTGGCTCCGCCCACCCCACTGCTTCCCTCCCAGGAATCCCCACACAACGCATTTTGGATGTAAGTAAGTGCAGGGTCCACGAGGGGGCTCGGGGAAGGTGAAAAACGAGCTTCCTGGAAGTTCAGAAAGGCTGGAAATGGGCCTGTTTCTGGCTTCTAGAGAGCCTTCGGAGCCCAGGGAGGCTGTTTTCACCCTTCTGGAGGCTGAAGGAAAGCCTCTGGAGCCTGGGGAGGACAAAAATGCCACCCCCACCATGGTGCAGGAGGCTGACTTGGCCACCATAGCTAGGCCCACTCAGCAACCAGGCAGACAACCTGTCGCTAAAATTTTTGAAGCCCACCCCTGATCCCAATCCCTTTACACAATCCATCTATATACACAGAGACCCGGAGATTTGGCGTGGTTTCTGGTTTATTTAAAGTCATCCCCTTCAAAAAAAAATTCCAATCCCGTAGTTTGCAAATTATGCCTTACCGAGAGGATCCTTTTCAAAGTCAATCCTTACAGTCCCTGCAATAGCATAGGCGATTACCAGGGGAGGGGAGGCCAGATAATTAGCACGTGTGTTTGGATGGACACGGCCTTCAAAGTTCCTGTTTCCAGACAGCACCCCTACAGCTACTAAGTCTCCCTGCAAAAATACCGTCCATATTGAAAAAGAAAGTAGTTTCCATTTGTTCATATCACCAAGGTCCATATACAATGTCCATTAAAGTCACATGAAATCTCACTCCTCTCCTTAAAAGACTATGCTAAATAGCCACATTAAAATTGAATAAAAATGGGAGTATTGACCTAGGCTTCCCAAGATCATGAAGGATAAAATCCCTTTTATTTAGGTTAAAGTGAATTCCTCTCCAGCAAACTGTCTTTCATGAGATTTCACAACTACAGACCTTTATCAGGCTTGGAGAGTTGTCAGGCCGATATCTTCCAAACACCATGCTGTAACAGCAATTACTTGGCAAGAAGTCAGATCTTCACCCTAATGAATTAAACTAATTGTCTCCTGCAAACACCACTCCCCTTTCACTCCTCTTTATTCCCTATGGGAGGGGCCATTCACTGTCCATCTGAGCCTTTACTCCCAAGTTGACCCTTGTTCCTTAACTGTTCCCTTCTCCTGGCAGCTCTGTGGATGCGCACACTGGGAACAGGCTCCAGCTATTCTTCTTGCCCCGCTGATCTCTGACTCTGAAGGCAGCTGATAAGTGTCAGACGGCCCTGGCTCCATCTCTGCCTCTGACACAGAGCACTCATAAGAGCTTTCCCCAGACTCCAGGACTGGCCCATGTTCCTCCCCAACCTCCTCACTGCCTGAGTCTGCCACCAGCTCCGCTGGCCGCTGGCAGGCTACAACAATGGGAAGTTGGCTATCCATTTCCAAATAAAGTTCAAAGTTACTTTTCCTGTACTATAAGAGCAAGGAATTATTTTAAAGCAGCATTTTTCAAACCTGGCAACTTTAAAATGTGTCCTCTTCAATTCCCAAAATTCCCAGATAGCTTAGGAGTTGAAGTCCACATATTGTAAACTTTCCAAGTTTGAAAAGCACTGTTTTTAAAGCAAGGGTGGGGAACGATGGTCCTTTAATGACTTGTGAACTTCAATTCCCAGAATTCCTGAGCCAGCCATGTGGGCCTTAGGAATTCTGGGAGTTGTGGTCTATAAATCATAAAGGTCTACAAATTCCCCACCTCTGTTTTAAAGGGACACAACTCCATCATCTCAAGAGCTCTTAAACTCTTAAACTAAACAGCTCTTATGCATGGTAACTATCATTAAACTGTCAGCTTTGGAAGCCATATTTTACCTAGGAACTTCCACACTGCCCCATTCTAGTGCCTGGGAATTTGGGAGGGGAGGATCTTACAGAGAAGTGTAAGTTAAACATAACAACATTCTTCTTCTGAGTCAAGGACAAGCCACCCTGCACCTGGGAAAGGAGTGGTTGGAGGGATGTCTCCAGTTGAACCATGTGATGGATTGATGGATGCAGGGGAAGAGTTTTGGATTTTCAATTACGAAGGGAAAACCCCGAATTCTCAGATTCGGGTTTTCCCAGATGTGCCAATAGGACTACTCTAATAAAGTGGAACTTTGAGAAGATCCCTGTCTCAGAGTTTATTGGTTTGGAGTTTGTTAGTTGGAACGCTGACATAAACATTATATTGACAATGTTAGATCAATGTACAATAAATAAGCATTGCCCTTCTACAAATAGTCTTCAAATTGCAAGTACAGTTAGCCCAGAATTTTGGCTGTTGAGCAATGGATTCATGAAACAAATCATCCCCAGACCTGATTTTATTGCCATTTTTATGGGGGTTAAGTGAACCACAGGGTTGTTCAACAAAATTGGCTTCCCCAATTGACTTGCTTTGTTGGAAACCAGATAGAAAGGTTGCAAATCACGATTGTGTGAGCACGAGACACTGCAACCACCATAAATGAAGTTGCCAAGCATCATGTCACCAGGTGACTGTGGTAGTGGTACGACAGTTGCAACTTCAAGGATGAGTCAAGGCTACTGTAATCATGAACCGTTATTAAGTGAACAGTGGTAAGTCAAGAACTACATGCAAGAACAATAAGCCTTCTATTCTGCATGTCTAAAGTGTTCATACATTGTTCCACTGTCTATCCACAAATCCAGTCACTACCAATCTTATTTTTTGCTGGGTTCTGGTCATTTGTATGCAAAATCGCGAAAAAAAAAACAAACACACACAAAAAATCAGCAATACCTGAGTAATGGCTTCAACAACAGATTCCGGCAAAGGCCCACTATTACCAATGCATGTCATGCACCCATAGCCAACCACATCAAACCTGCGGAGAACATGAAAGTCAATAGATTACCAATGGGACATCTAGTAGAAAAGAAAAGATCAAACAAATGCATTTCTCCCATTTGCCAGATCATATAATAAATTCAGAATAACGACCCTAGTGTTGATGGTACATTCTTCTAACTGGGCAAGGAAACTTTATATAAACTGATTCCTATGGAGGGGCTGGTGGGAGGATGGATATATCTTTAGATATATTTTTCCATATGTTTCAAATAGTGAAACAATAAGCTCCTCTCACGATCACTCTCAGCCTTTCAGAAAGTACGGCCTCTGTAAAAACTGCTTGTAGACCAGCTGCTTCAAACTGAGAATGGGGGGAAAAAAAACTTGACCGAGCATAAAAGGAATCTTCCAGCTTTACCTTCTTTCTGACACATCAATTTATGAGCCGGGGGGATAAGTATTCAGATTGTTTAGTAAAGATTAATGAGCAGGGCGGATAAGTATTCAGATAACAAAAAGATTAATTTTATAATCCACACACACATCATGAGACAATTGATCCTCTTTCAGTTGAGCTGGGCTTGGCCATGCATGCATCTCAATATGGCATACAATAAACATGGCACTCTTGGATACAAATTGAGTTGGAAAGTAAGTGAATCTCCCTAACTTGAAACGACGGCAAGGACTTAATCCACCCCATGTTTCTTGAGGAATTAAAGTGGTATGAAGTTTCTTCCACTTCGCAAGCAATCTGTAATCCAGTGAATGATGCTGGCGCATCCAACATTCCCGTAGTAGCTGTGTGCAGCTGTTTTCTTAACCTTCGGGGTCAATGTCTACACAGCATGGGCTGAATAGATTCTCTATTTGGTTTGTACTCTCCCTTCTTCAGCTGAACACGTGAATTGCGTTTATACAGAGCCATTCAACCAGTGATTTTTAAGGCCATACAGCTCATCTGATTCTATAATATAAGGGTGTTTTAGAGCACACAAGATCAAGATCGCTCACAAAGTACTTGTCTGCAACTCCTCAACTGAAGAATTGTGGATAATATGTATGTATGTAACTATATGTAATTGCAGCTCCAGATGCTCTGGAAATCCAAAGTGCTAAAAACAGAGTTGGAAGGGACCTTGGAGGTCTTCTTGTCCAACCTCCTGTGTAAACTGGAGATCCTATACCATTCTGGACAAATGGCTGTCCTATCTTTTCTTAAAAACCTTCAGTGATGGAACATCCACAACTTCTGAAGGCAAGCTGTCCCTCTGGTTAATTGTTCTCACTGTCAAGAAATGTTTCCTTAGTTCTAGGTTGGTTGTCTCCTTGATTAGTGTCCATCCATTGCATCTTCTCCTGCTTTCAGATGCTTTGGAGAATAGGTCGACCTCCTCTTTTCCTTTGTGGCAGCCCCTTAAGCATTGGAATATGGCTATGATGTCAGCCCTGGTCCTTCTTTTCACTCGACTGGACGTACTCAATTCCTTCAACTGTTCTCTATAAGTTTTAGCCTCCATCCCCCTAATTATCTTGTTGCTCTTCTCTGCACTCTTTCCAGAGTCTCAGCATCTTTTTAATGTTGGAGTGACCAAAACGTAACAATTTTACAGCACACATATATTTGGAATTGCTATATTTTCCTTGGGTTCTTTAAGACAACATTTTCCTTATTTTTTTAGATATAGCTACTTGATTAAACACACGTTTCTTTGTTATTGCAACCAGGAATCCATCTTTGAGATTAAAAGTATACATGGAAAAAAAGAAAGAAGAAAGGAATGTCTTACCCTAGTTGAGCAAGATAAGGCATCACTCCACTCTCTCTTAAATAGTATGTGACTACTCCACTTCCTGGAGACAAGCTAGTTTTAATATATGGTTTCACGGTCAACCCAGCTTCTACAGCTTTCTTTGCAAGCAAACCTGCATAAAGAGTCACACATATATATACAGATATATGAGTTTGTGTACTTCAGGCTAGTTTAGGCTTTTTATACAAAAAAATATTCTAAAAGCTTACATAGCTGGTATACCGCTACTCAATCTGGCTCAAAAAATATAAATCTGATACCTTCTCTCCTGCCTTGGAAATAGAGAGAAATCCAAAATGTGGAAGCCCCTATTTCCCATAGTAATGGAAGTCTGGTCCTTGCTGCCTTTCTTTTGCAACACCTAGAAGCCCAGCAAGCTCCATGATCCTCATGAAGATTCAATGGAATATCACCAGGGGTGGGACTCTACCAGTTCGGACCAGTTCAACAGAACTGGTTGTTATGAATTCTGAGCAGTTCGGAGAACCGGCAAATCATGTCCCTGTCTGGCCCCGCCCCTCTATACCCTCCCCTCCCCTCCCCACCCATTCAGTCCTTATTGTGCATGCATGACATCGCGTGCATGCCCGACATAGCTGACTGTGTTCTCCCCACCACCGAGTCACTCCTTAAGATATTTCTTTTTTTCCCCCCTCCCGATGATCAGCTGTTCCGACGATCAGCTATGCCGGGATCCCCCTAGCTGTCTTACTGCTTCGCCCAGGAGGCAAAAAGGAGAGCGTGGGTGGGTGGGGGGTGCTGCAAAAGAATAAGAAGAAGCCACCCCCACCCAGTCACATGCCCGCCTAGCCATGCCCACAGAACCAGTTGTTAAAAAATTTGAATCCACCCCTGAATATCACTGCAACAACGTGCTCTCTGTGATTTATGGCCCAAGCCACTGAAAAACAAGATCGACTTAGATCTCAGACTCTGTGTTGCAGTGCGGGAATGCCGTGTTTTTACGCATCCCCAAGAGATCTTGGAGAAACGCGATTGTTGTTTCATGGAATCTATACCGCATTCATGTATAATAAAATGAAATATCGGGAAGAAATAAAAGGGGCAAGGAACAGCCTCTGCTCCACCACTTTTCATCTGATTTTAATAGCCATTCCCCTCTTTCCAGAGAATTATGGAATTCAGCTTCTGTGGAAGGAAATCTAAGGCTCCTTAAAACAGTTTGCTGTCAACTAAATTAAGTTAAATTAAATTTAAAAAGAGATCTGTGGGGCACTTCCATTAAATGTGCAGTACGGGTAGTCCTCCACTTACAACCATTGGTTTAATAATTGTTTGAAGTTACAAGGGCACAGAAAAAAGCGATCAGTTTTCTCACAATCATTGCAGCATCCCCATGGTCACATGATAAAAAAAAAATGGGCGCTTGGCAACCGGCATGTATTTATGATCCTTGCACTGTGCCAGAGTCATGTGACCATCGTTTGTAACCTTCCCAGCTGGCTTCCAACAAGCAAAGTCAATGGGAGGCAGTCAGATTTGCTTAATGTCTGCATGATTTATTTAACAACTGTGGCAAAAAAAGGTGGTAAAATGAGGCAAAGCTCACGTAACAAACTGCCTCGCTCAACAGCAGAAATTTTGGGCTCCATTGTGGTCGTAAGTCGAGGACTACCTGCCTCTATCTTTGCTTTAACTGGTGCTCTAAAATGACAACTTACCAGCTCCAAGCATCACAGAAGGATTGCTAGTGTTGGTACAGCTAGTAATAGCCGCGATCACAACTGACCCGTGTGTTAGTTCAAACTCCTTGTCATTGTAGACAAACTGGACATGGTGGTTGTGATATTCGGGGGCAATCTGGAAACCTTTAAATCCTTGCTGCAAAACAGAAATCAACAAAAAGCATACATATTTTTAAAATTGGTAAGAAACGCTCAGACAGAGCTAATTGGGGATTTCTGGGCATTGAAGTCCCTACATCTTAAAACTTGCCAAGATTGAAAAATACTGATCTAGACGTTTGAAACTGAAAAGCTGCCACAAAATATTGTAGCACAGCCCATCCTTTCAGTGTTCCGTCCAGCGTACCCTATTCCATTCTACCATCTCTCAGTTTCTCATAATTTACTTCCAATTGCCAGCTGGCTTTCCATATCAATCAGTTTGGAATTACTCTGCTTACCTGGATTATAATCATATTGTAATCATTAAAACAATTCAGGAAGCTTTACGGTTCTCTTGAATGTGCTGACACGCGTCCTCTTGTTTGTAGATAGATGGAAGTAGCCACATTAATTACTTCTGATTAATTTTAAATCAGTTTAAATAAAATAAACCAGTTCATTTTTTTTCTCTAGCTCTATCTTTTTTTTTGGGGGGGGGGGGGAGAGATATACTTCTGTATGTCATTCAAAGCCAGGTGCAACTGAAGGATATACGATATTCTGTGTATATTCTGTGCATGACAGACACTCTGTAAAAATGCTGTTGAGAAGGGAAAATTTTTATTGCTTCTTCCTCCACCCAGTCAGTTGGAATTACCAACTTTGCAAAAGTCTTAGCAGAATTTAGTTGAATTTTCAGTTTTCCAGCTGACTTCTGACCCCATCCTTCATTATTGTCAACCGTGGTCAATAACCTAGGTCTAGGACAACAAAAGCTATAGTCTCATCTGGGGGATCTGGGAATGGTCATGATAGTTCAAATAATGTTGTGTCTACTGATTTTAAAATAGCATGGTCTTTGGCTGATTAAACACCACATTTATCCTTTTAGCTTCAAAATCCATTATTTGTACAACAAAACTATTACAATTCTATCTTTGAAATTTAGGCACAAAGTTGGCTTTGCTAGTCAAAGGAAACACATTATCCTAAAGAATAACACTTTAGATCTGGATAGCAGGAGAGCATATGAATTTATATCAAAGGCAGCCACCAAAGAGTTTCATCATTAATGAAAACTGAACTGTGAAAACATATATATTTTATATTCAAGTCTGGCCCCACCAGCAAATAGATTCTCCACAAATAAGAGTAGCCTCACAAAGAAATATATCTTCTGTACATTGATTATAAATTAATTAATATATCGGAAGGAAGATCACATACCATTATAAAAGGGGTATATTTTAAATTGAAAATAGCATTACCTTTGCTCCCAAGCAGGTCTCAAAATCCTTCTTCATGTCAGAGACAGCTACCTTGTCCTGCGGTCTTTTAGGACCACTGCAACATGGCACAACAGTTTGCAGGTCCAATTCTACAATCTACTGAAAAGAAAGGAAGTGGGAAGAAAGAGAAACCGAGAGGTGCTAGCTTCCTTGAAATTGTTCCTTTATATATTTATATAAGTAGCCCTCGACTTACAAACGCTCACAAAATGACTTACAAAATTATGGTGGCACAGAACAAAAGGGATGCTCGGCTCATGCCGCCGTGGTCACATGTTCAAAATTCGGGTGCTTGGCAGTCTGTCCACACTTAGGACTTGTTGATCTTTCTTTCCCCCACTCCTTAAGTGCTGAAGCTAAACTCCCCCCCTCTGCCCTGCAGTCTTGATCCCCTATAACCACTTAAATTGCTAAATTTATTGCATGCCTGGAAAGAGGATGACCAAATCTATAAGTTGTTTACCTGGAGGACTGACTAGTCGCCTGAAGAATAGAGAAAAAAAATTTTTTTAAAGGGCACTGCAGAAGCTAAAGGGATTCAGATAAGCAACTTGGGAGAATTTGAGCCAAATCGTCAGGATTCATAGCACAGCCTTGTGGGGGATGATTTCAAGACAGGCCTGTAGCAGCTTGAACCTAACCCACCAGCTTCATTGTATGGCTGCCAAGGCTCTTCATAATCCTTGCTGGTTCTGAAATCCCAGCCATGAAGCGTTAATAAGAGGGTTTCCTTCCTTGGTGGTCTGCCATAGGTAGGTGGTGGGCTTAATTTGATTTGGCAGATCCTCCATTAGGCCTGTGCTGGCTTGTTTCAAGGGCTTCAGCATGATTTTAAAGTAAGAAACCTAGAGGTTACCCAGGTTTTGCTTCCACCAAAGTGCATAGTAGTTAAAGGATTTTGGTAGAAAATCCATCAAAACAGGCTTCTCTCACATTAATAAAAACGGAATTAGATGCCAGAGATAGCCACAAGACTCTGCCTATTGGGCCAACTCTATGACCATCCAGTAATTCTAGTAATTTTGAAAACATTACTTCTTTTTAGACATCTTTAATTTAACCACTGTACTCAATGAGAGGCTTTCTGGTTCTTATCTTCTAAATAGTTTTGTAATTGGCTTCTGCCTTTTCGGTTAGTGGAAGATGCAGGATGATTTCCTGAGATGTCTAGAAGTCTGGGGCTTGAATGTTCCTTTGGGGAACAGTACAAATTTAAGCAAAGGTACCTGAGTAAAATCTGGATCCTGAGATGAGTTATTGAAATCTCTAAACATTCCTGTAGCCTTGAGGTACTTTCTTATATGATTGATCTTTTCTTGATCACGGCCTATAATGGACAAAAATAACAACTCTGTGACTGTGCAAAGAGATAGAAAGGCAATTTCTTAAGGAACAGCAAATGTAAGATGCTGCATAGCAGGGGCCTCCAACCTTGGCAACTTTAAGCCTAGAAGACCAGCTTTGCTGGCTGGGAATTCTGAGAGATGAAGTCCTCCGGGCTTAAAGTTGCCAAGGTTGGAGAGCCCTGCTGTTTAGAATTTCAGAAAACCTCTAGTATCACACCAAATGTACAACATTGGGTATTACCAGACTATTTAGTATACACGCTAAGAGACTAATCGTAAAGTTCTAACTCATCTTTAAAAGTGAAGAATGTAAACATGTCTGAATCATCATATTGGCACTCCCAATGAATACTTACTGAGAAAATGGTTTGGGTGTAATTGGAAGCATGCTGTATATGTGATAAGAAACACATGGTGAAGGATTTACTGTTTATATGTTCAACACAATATGAAATACATACTATCTGCATGCAAATGCGCAAACTAAATAAATTCACACTATCTCTACATAAATGTGCATGCAGTATCCCTGAAACCATTACTTGAGTTAATTATACATGAGCCAATATTTTGAATTAATAAGTTTGTCCTTTACTAACTCTAATTTTCAGGATGACACACATATTGTTTGTGAAATTAGAAAGATCCTATTAGAAGACTGTCTGAATCCTTTGATTTACTAAATAAATAGACTAAAGTATAGGAACTTGAACAATCAGCTCCTGAGGTTGGACCTGTATTTTATATTTTGCTAAAACTGTGATTTTTAATTGGCTAATCAATGTGAGCCACTTTATCACACACTGACCAAAGCATAATTCACAAATCTCCAATATTTTATTTTCTGCATAGGCACATAAAGCAATAAAGAATTATTCTAATTCAGATGCAAGAAACCATATTTTACTATTGATAAGATAGCAAATACAATCTCGGAACTCAAGCAAAAGCCCCCAATATCTTCTTTCTTTTTTACCTGAAATAGCCACACTGTTTGACCCAGAATAGTTTTATATTTTGGGGTTAATTGATCCATTTACAATGTTGAAGTCTGATGTGGGAATCTGAAGTCTTCCAGGAGGAGATTTCCTTTTCATAGTAACTGCTATAGCGACTATCTCTAATTACAGAATCTTATCTTGCTGCACTACCTCTGGTTTCCCAGGATATTTTTTCATAGTGTCAGCTTTCCTGTAGATTTTTTTTTTTATCTTGAGGAATATCTAAATGGACTGCTATGGGTTTCCCTGTATTGCTTTAGGTAACATGGCTTCCTGTCCTCTGTTCAGTTTTGCATCATCCCAGCTTTCTATTCAATTTTTAAAATTGCATTAGAATGAAGATTTTAAAGAATCAGAGAATCTTGATACATGCCAAGATTGGAGCTTACATTTCTTTCCACAGATGCTATATTGGTCTAAACGGGCTGGTATTAAAACAGGTGTCCTATCTTCATCTGAAATGAATACGCTCTGCTTCACAAATTCAGGTTTTACATATTGTTTTTCGTCTACTCACCAGTTTGAACTAAGTATTTGATGCTAACTTCATCAACTGGGAAGAAGGCAGCAGTTGCTCCATATTCTGGACACATATTGGCAATGGTGGCTCGATCAGCAATGGACAACTGAGCAACTCCAGGTCCAAAGAACTCGACAAATTTCCCCACAACCCCTACTTGGCGTAAATGCTGCAACACATTTAAGTTTGCATTCAGTTCCATTTTCACGGTATGTTCTATACTATATTTAAAAAGGCTGAAATCAGATATAACTGAGCTTTGGGGGGGGGGGGGTTTCCATAAAGGAGAATCCAAGGCTCCATTTAAGCAAAGTTTGCTGCCAAATTTGAACCTATATTGCAACACTAAGATACAAGTCTAATAAACAAATAAAATAAGTTTGATTGATTTCAATAGTTTTTCTAGAGAAATACAGTTTTATAATATGGCACAAAACTTTCTGTTGGACATTTTGAATAAAAATTGTCCTGAATGTAAATTATCAGCTGGCATCCCCCTATAGCCCCAAATCTCACTATCTCCAATTTGCGTTGGCTGCCTCAATCGATTTAATCTTGGCTGAGTTCTATTTTTATGCCTCTTGGAACCCCTTTAACATTTGTTGAAAACTGATCATACATTTTCCTGCAATTTTGAATTAGGAAACAAATAAAAATATAATGTTGTCCTCAAATTAAGTATGTCACAATTAAAAATCCTGCACATGTCTATAATGCACCAATGTACTTTGTGGTCCTCAGTATCTCTGTGTTAAGAGAAGTTCTTATCTCTAAAAGGTGGGACTATGGAACTATTTTATTAATTCAATACTTCTGACACACATTAGTGCTTAGAATAGTGATCACTAAGTGACTTTGTTGATTATATTAAATTGGAATAAAATACTCTCAGAAATAGAGTTCAAACACTTGATGTAGAGGACTTATACTCCTACCCTGTATCTATTAGCATGCAGATTTCTGAGATTAATTAAGCAATAGTCTCGTATCATGATCAGCTGTGGTCAGTCAAGCAAGTTATTACCTTGGTAACTGTGAGCACGATGTCTGTGGATGTGACCAATGACTGAGGACTACCGCTCAATTTGTAACCAATCACTTCAGGAAGAACCATACTGATTGGTTGGCCCAGCATCACCGCTTCAGCTTCAATACCACCCACACCTGATCAATGGGAAAGAGAGAGCGGGAGGAGGGAGCAAGAGAGGGAGAGAGAAAGATGCATTAAATATGATTGCTGACTTATCTTGCAGCAACATTCATTCAGGAAAACAACAGTGGGTCAGCAGTATTATTGACAGGGAGATGAAAACAGTAGTTATTCATCTAAAATAAATAAAATCAGGGTAAAAAGAACATCAAAAATATTGCTAGATCAAAACAATGGCCTATCTAGATTCGTTTTTTTGTTCCCACAATGCCCAAGCAGATGCTAACAGGAAGACCCAAGAACAGTTGTGCATTAGCATGTTCCCTACCTCATTTCCCCAAGGAACTCAAACTGGACTGAGAAGTCACAAGGCAATCAGTTTTAAAGCGGGGTTTACCAATCTGCAGATGAAATTAAGCGGAATGCCGCACCCCTTGTTTAAGAAACATGTACATGCTAAACATACAGGATAGTTTTGCTATAAAAACCATGCTGTAAGGATCAAAAATATAAACTCTTTTAACATGTGAATCTGTTCTCTTGCATTCTGCAAATCACTATGCATGCAAAATCATTTTTTCCCCTTTCCACAGGCAAATAAAACACAACCTAAAAACAATAGAACAAGGCATTTAAATGTGAAAGATTCAAGGAGCTTAAGAACAGGAAATGAAAGAATTGTAAACACATGACTATCATAAAATAATACTAACCCTGTATTTCTTCCCTGGCTAGATCCTACATCATCTTCTTACAGGTGAAACTTGAAAAATTAGAATAGTGTGCAAAAGTTCATTTATTTCAGTAATGCAACTTAAAAGGTGAACCTAATATGAGATAGACTCCTTACATGCAAAAAGATAGTTCGAGCTGTGCTGTGTCATAATTGAGATGATTATGGCTTACAGCTCATGAAAACCCCCAATCCACAATCTCATAAAATTAGAATATTATGAACAGGTTCAATATTCTAGGCTCAAAGTGTCCCACTCTAATCAGCGAATTAAGCCATAACACCTGCAAAGGGTTCCTGAGCCTTTAAATGGTCTCTCAGTCAGGTTCAGTAGAAATCACAATCATGGGAAAGACTGCTGAGCTGACAGTTGTGCAGAAAACCATCATTGACACCCTCCATAAAGAGGGGAAGCCTCAAAAGGTAATTGCAAAAGAAGTTGGATGTTCCCAAAGTGCTGTATCAAAGCACATTAATAGAAAGTTATGTGGAATGGAAAAGTGTGAAAGAAAAAGATGCACAAGCAGCAGGGATGACCGCAGCCTGGAGAGGATTGTCAGGAAAAGGCCATTCAAAAGTATTGGGGACTTTCACAAGGAGTGGACTGAGGCTGGAGTCAGTGCATCAAGAGCCACCACACACAGACGGATCCTGGACATGGGCTTCTAATGTCGTATTCCTCTTGTCAAGCCGCTTCTGAACAACAAACGTCAGAAGCTCCTTATTTGGGCTAAAGAAAAACAGAACTGGTCTGTTGCTCAGTGGTCCAAAGTCCTCTTTTCTGATAAGAGCAACTTTTGCATCTCATTTGGAAACCAAGGACCCAGAGTCTGGAGGAAGAATGGAGAGGCGCACACTGCAAGATGCTTGAAGTCCAGTGTGAATTTTCCAAAGTCTGTGTTGATTTGGGGAGCCATGTCATCTGCTGGTGTTGCTCCACTGTGCTTCATTAAGTCCAGGGTCAATACAGCCATCTACCAGCAGATTTTGGAGCACTTCATGCTTCCTTCCACAGATGAGCTTTTTGGGATGCTGACTTCATTTTCCAGCAGGACTTGGCATCTGCCCACACTGCCAAAAAGCACCAAAACCTGGTTCAATGACCGTGGGATTACTGTGCTTGATTGGCTAGCAAACTCGCCTGACCTGAACCCCATAGAGAATCTACGGGGCATTGCCAAGAGAGAGATGAGAGACATGAGACCAAACAATGCAGAAGAGCTGAAGGCCGCTATTGAAGCATCCTGGTCTTCCATAACACCTCAGGAGTGCCACAGGCTGATAGCTTCCATGTCACGCCGCTTTGAGTCAGTAATTGCTGCAAAAGGGGCCCAAACCAAGTACTGAGTACATATGAATGCTTATACTTTTTAGAGGTCCAATACTGTTCTATATACAATCCTTGTTTTATTGATTGCATGTAATATTCTAATTTTCTGAGATTGTGGATTTGGGGTTTTTATGAGCTGTAAGCCATAATCACCTCAATTATGACAAATCACGGCTTGAACTATCTTGCTTTGCATGTAATGAGTCTATCTCATATATTAGTTTCACCTTTTAAGCTGCATTGCTGAAATAAATGAACTTTTGCACGATATTCTAATTTTTTGAGTTTCACCTGTATATTCATAACCCCCAATACTCACACACAAATGCTTGCCAATGAATTAGAAGATAAGGATATCTCGAAACATGACATCAAGAAATACATTTATTTTACTCAGCAGTGGAATACCATGCATGCATCTCTTTATCAAATTTAGATCCACTCTAGATCTAGTTTTCCTTGGCTATTCCCAAGGGAAAACAAACAATGTTTACTACATTGTCTTTTTAATTTTAAAGGGACGCACCACTACATTTCCAGATACATACAGCTTTTCTCACTTGTATTGAACTGTGGCACATATCTCGGCTGCATGTTTTTTTTCCTGTGCCCCCAACACATTGCTTTGAGATGTAAGTGATCTATTCTTAAGTCAGCTGAATTGGAATTAAAGTAGTATTTCTCCCTTAGTCTGACCGTCTTTTAGGGTAGTGTCATGCCCTTGTTGGGAGTCTGATTCTGAGGGGAAGATTGACTGACAGGGAATGGGAGTGTGGCTCCAGTGGCTATGGAAAAAACAGGGGAAGGGCAGTCTGGCTGGGCATTCAGTGGAAGACCCAGGGCCACCCCCTCTTTATCCTAGGGCATGCACGGAGGAACGGAGAAGGGAGCAATGTAGCTTACAGGAGAGAAAAGGGCCCTGATCCCTTTCATTAGTTGCAGCTGGGAGAACAGGATATAAGAAGGGCGTTTGCACACAGCACCTTGCTGGAAGCAAAGCGTACATTATCTTGGTCAAGACTTATCTGGGTTTTGGCATCCTCCCAACTGTGTGTGCTTCGTTATCTTTTGGAAGTCTGCAATTTATTATCTTGGCCTGTCGTGTTAATTACTTCAGCGTGGTTTGTGTTGTGTTGTTGTTTTTTATTTCTAATTTATCTGTACTTTGGGTTCGGACTGCATTTCTTGCCTTTGTAGACTGTTCTTGGAAGGGTTTGATCACCAGCCGAGGATAACTGGACATTGGAGGCCAAGTTGGTGGTATTAAAGGGAATTTATCTACTTTTGTGCCATGCTCTGGGTCATCACATGTAGTCTGAAAGTGTGTGAAATCTGCTAGGATTGTCACCTTTGATCTTGAATTGATATAAGTTTTTTTAAGTCAAGTTTTTTTTTGTTTATATATATGCATTTTGAATACAGTGTATTGTCTGGGCATTCCATTTTAGAAAATAAATAAATAGTAACATATATACTGATAGCAATAGTAGTAATACAACAGAATAAGTCCAACCGTATTTATAATTATATTATCTTATTTGTAATCCTATTGATTATATTAGCATACTTATAGTTTTAAACAACATTCATGTTTAACTTATGCTCTTTCTTAATCTAATTTCTACCTCTTATCTCTAACCATTGGTAAAACCTATTCCACGTTAAGTAATATTCTGTATCTCCTTTATATTTTATTTTCAACTGAATTGATATAAGTTATAGTGATTTCAAAAGAATAATAGAGAGAAGGCTCAGTAACCGCGGCAGCAAATTATCATCTCAGCCAACTCTAGAATGAGTAAAGAACACATCAACTAAGCAGTGAGGAAAGGTCTAAAGTTGTATTAACTGAATAAAAAAAAACAACTTTAAAAGCTTCTTACTTTGCCCTGTTTGCATTTTTATGTTAGCTGATCAAGCAAAAGTGTGTGTGTGTGTGTGTATAAAACCAAACAAACTACAACTGGAATTGAAAGAAAAACTTATGGTTTCCTGATATATGCTGAGTCAAAGCATTTCTCTAGAAAGATTAAATGCATTACTGCTTTGAGCTTATTTTAAACGGGATTTTAGGCTTAAGTTTGGTGGTTTTTTCATGGGATTTAAAGGGCTCTTTCAGGGATTTAATATTTAGGAACAGGGCTCTAATTAATATATATGTGATTTTTTAAAAATCCTTATTTTAAACTATTTCCAAAATGGCTAGATATTCTGAAAGATAAGAAATCAACAACAGTATTTTATTCTAAGATCTCACAGTGCGATTTTGCTTTCTTTTAACACATGCCGATCTAACGTTACTTTTCTTTATCAGCCTTCTTCACAGAACAGTGCAGATGTATATCGAAGCTCTCTCCACATCTGCTAAGAATCTCAATTTTATCACCTTCAACATGCAATCCCGCCTTTAATTAACTGATGTAATCTAGAATCAGGAAGATTTTGCCCTCAAAATAAAGTGGAGTAAGAATGCAAGCCAGGTATATAAACCTTAGAATTCTTCCATGTATATTCTTGGCACGTGGGAATATTTCTTCTGGGACAATGACTGATATTATCCAAGGTAAATAAATGTCTTCTCTTCCCATGGAAGGGGTAAAAATGGTCTTCATCTGACTCAGTGATTTATGGAGAACACTTTGAAAATTAGAGAAACTAAAGGCATGGCTTCTATCTTGTGAGCCTTTTGTCATGCTTCAGTCACTGGGACAACTTCTCATTTGTTTCCTTCTACCATTCAGGAATAGGGCTATTTCAGTAGTGGTATTAATTTGTCATACGATAACTAACTGGTATCGCTCCCCTGACTTCCCCTAACTTTCCAGGGAAATATAGACTCAGTGCTGCTTCGGCCTGCATTTCCTTAAATCAGGCATGATCAATGGTGTGAAAAACATTTTGGTGATCAGAGGCCATGTCTAATTATGGTTAAATAGGGCCTCCACTTATGAATTTGATACTAATGGGGTTAGTAACTGCTCGCTTCTTCTCCTATTTCAATTCCCAGCATAAGTTCTTCTGCCACTGTATGGAAAGAGGCTGTGTGACACGAAGCTCCTAGCCTGAATTCGACTTTTTTTTAAAAAAAACCACCACTGACCAAGTACAGGTAGTCCTTGACTTACAGTAGTTCGTTTAGTGACTGTTCAAAGTTTCAATGCCACTGGAAAAAGTAACTTATGGCAGTTTTTCACACTTATAACCTGTCATGCCACTGTCGGAATCTGATTTTAAGGGGGAGGCCGAGCAGCTGACAGGGAGTGGGAGTAGGGCTCTGTTGGCTGTGGAAGAAACTGGGGAAGGGCAAAGTCCGGCTGGGCAGAGCAGGGAAGAGAGAGAGCAAGGCAGAGGGAATTCAGAGGAAGATTCAGGACAACCCCCTTTTCATCCTAGGGCATGCAGGGAGGAACGACGAAGGGAGAAACGTGAGTTGCATGGCTTACAGGGGAGGAAAGGGCCCTGATTCCCTTCATTAGCCGCAGCTGGGAACACAGTGTTTAAAAAGGGAAGCTATGCACAGCAAAGTTGTTTGAAGCAAACCGTGAGTTATCTGTTATTGTCGAGGCTTATCTGGATTCCTGGCGTCTTCCCGACTGTGTGTGCTTTATTGGCCTTTCAAGTCTGCAATTCCTTATCCTGCCCTGTCAAGTTAATTACTGCCACCTGGTTTGTGTGGATTTTTATTTACAGTTTGTATGTACTTTGTTTTCGGACTGAATTTCCTCCACTTAAAGACTGTTCTTGGGAGTTTTTTCTCCAGCCAAAGGTAACCTGGATATTGGGGGGCAAAGTTGGAAGTATTAAAGGGACTCTTCTTGCTTATTTGACTGTGTTGCCTTTGTGCCACGCTCTGGGTCATCACATAACCATTGGAGCAACCCCATGGTCACATGATCAAAATTCAGATGCTTGTCAGCTGACTCGTATTTATGACGGTTGCAATGTCTCAGGGGTCATGTGATCACCTTTTGCGATTTTCTGACAAGCAAAGTCAATGGGGAAGCCAGATTCACTCTTAACAACCATGTTTCTAACTTAAGAATTTCTGCGCTTTAACAACTGTGGCCAGAAAGGTTGTAAAATGGGGCAAAACTCACTTAACAAATGTCTCATTTAACAACAGAAATCTTGGGCTCAATTGTGGTCGTAAGTCAAGGACGACCCGTATAGGGAATATATTATTTTCCATACATTTTGGACTTTGGATAGAGATATTGGAAGCTGTACTTCAGCAAGATCAGGACTCCAAGTTCCATTGCATGGCCAATGGATTTTTTTTTTCTCAGAAGATATAGATTTGGTGTAACTGTTATGGATCAGGCTAGAAACGTGGTGATGGTGAGCTATAGTCACACCTTAGCAGAGGTGGTATTCAGCCAGTTTTGACAGGTTCTGGAGAATAGGTAGCTGAAAATTTGAGTAGTTCAGAAAACCAGTAAATACCACCTCTGACTAGCCGCGCACCCATCTATCCTCTGCTTCCTGAGTCCCAGCTGATTGGCTGGGTCTTCTGTTGTTGCCCTGCACAGGAGAACAGAGCTGGAAAGCAGGTTCGTGAGGTGGGGAGGGAATGGGGATTTTACAGTATCCTTCCCCTGCCACACCCACCAAGCCATGCCCACAGAACCGGTAGTAAAAAAAATTGAATATCACCACTGCATGAAAAGCAAGTGGGTGATTCTAGGCCAGTCTCTCTCAGAGGGTTGTTATTATGGGGGAAAAAGGAGGAGGAAAGAATATTAGGTATTCTCTCGCCACTAATAAAAAATAATCAAAGGTGGGATAAAAATAATAAACATACGAAGCTATTTGAACATAAATTCAGCAACTGAAAACTCAATCAATATTTTTTTTAAAAAAAAAATCTCACAAATTTTACCCCAGTTGATTATATATTAGACCCTTAGTGGCGCAGTGGTTGGAGTGCAGTACTGCAGGCCACTTCTGCTCACTATCGCCTGCCTGCAATTTGGCAGTTCAAATCCCACCAGGCTCAAGGTTGACACAGCCTTCCATCCTTCCAAGGTGGGTAAAAATGAGGATCCAGATTGTTTGGGGCATATGGTATTTGGCTTTGTTCGGGTATTTTCCCACGTCATTATACTTGTGCTTTTAAAGTTGTAGCAACGTTTCGGCAGAATCTCATCTGCCATCATCAAGCTTCTGTATACTCTGTATATTCTGTAGACGAACACAATACAGAAGCCTGATGATGGCAGATGAGATTCTGCTACAACTTTAAAAGCACAACTACAATGACGTGGAAAAATACCTGAACAAAGCTGAATACCATATAGATAGATAGATAGATAGATAGATAGATAGATAGATAGATAGATAGATACACACACACACACACACACACACACTAAGTGCTATTGCTATTAGGAGCAGCGGGGAAACAGCAAGAAGAAATTCAGAATAACACCTTCTCATTTTTGACTTTTTCTAAACACCACGTAAATTCCCAATGTACAGACAGTTCCATTTTAAAAGCACTTACCCCAGCCAAGTACACCTAAGCCATTAATCATTGTGGTATGTGAATCGGTACCCACAACGCTGTCTGGATAATAGAATCCATTCTGATCAAAGACAACTCTTGCCAGATATTCTAAATTCACCTGATGGACAATTCCTGAACCTGGAGGAATAATTCTCATGTTCTGGAAGGCTTGAGAGCCCCACTAAAACACAAATGGAAAAGAAGGAAATGTCTTAAGAAGTAGCAAAATTAAGTATTTCACTTGCCTAGTCATCAATTTATAAATATTGGGATATGAAGATTTGGTTTTTAAAACATTCTGCTCACGTGGACCTACTACCAAATTTTTGAAGTTCTATTCAGACTTTGTGGTTTCACCAATACACCTGTGGTTTTTTTTTTTTTAATCTTAAAATCTGACAAGATGTAAATTAAGATACCATAATCAAGCAAACAGCCCCATTCTGATTGGCTACCTACTGAGCCAGATGCATGAGCTAGACAGAAATTACAAAATTAACTGTCTGGCTTGGTACGTGTGATACCGAAGAATAACCAAGCTCAAATTTAAAAAACATTTAAATTTTGGAGAGCATTGGTTGGAGAGCATTTATCAAGTTTAATTCTTTCTCTTCTTTTATGGAAAAAAAAAACTTTGCTAACTTCTCTTCTTAGCTAATCTTTCAAGACAAAAACAGGTCCATGTCATACTTCTTAATAGATTTGTTGCTAGTTGCAAAGTCAAGCCCAACCCATCGCGACCCTGTGGACAACATTCCTCCAGGCCTTCCTGTCCTCTACCATCCCTGGAGTCCATTTAAGCTCACGGCGACTGCTTCAGTGACTCCCTCCAGCCACCTCATTCTCTGCCGTCCCTTCTCCTTTTTGCCCTCAACCGTTCCTAGCATTAGGCTCTTCTCCAGTGAGTCCTTCCTTCTCATTAGGTGGCCAAAGTATCTGACAGTTCCTAATACATTAGGAGCTGTGATTCTGTAGACTCCTTTCTACCTTAGTAGGCTGTTCCATGCTTAGCTTTGCAGACACACAAAGGAAGTATGATCTTACCTTCAAGAACTCAAATCGTTCTTTGTTTCTCTCAAATTCCAAATCTTGATTCTTCTGTAAACTATCTGGCCTGCAGTGAAAGGTAAGAGGTTAATACAAGTAAGAAAACATCAGTAGGATAAGAGTGCAGGATTCAATGTCTGTACCTTGAAAAAGAAAGTGGAGAGCGAGTTGGTATTTATTTAGCTCAGCATCATGGAGCTCTTTAATCGCCATGCACTAGAGAGTTAGGAAAAAAGCAAAGCTTTTATAATAATTCCTACTGTCTCAAGGAACGGCTAATTCCCTGTAGGCATTTTGGCAGAGAGTATTCTGAATATAACAGTGAGGGAAAGGTTTCTAAAACATGTTATTATACAAGAACAAGCGTTCTAGTGAGCAGAAAAAGATTAGAAAGTACAGCTGACAAAAATACATTCAAGGCTTTGAAAAAAGCACTATGTAAAGAGGTACTGGACTATTGGCCATATGAGTTGAGAACCAGGCTGAATTAGACTAAAAAGTCTTAGTAGCAAGACAGATTTTGTTCTCACTCAAATCAAAAGATCCAGCTAATCATATGGGAAACACACTAGCAGGATACAAGGGCAAATGCTCTCTTCTCAGTATATGGTTTTCTGTTTGTTCCCCGTCTCTGAGGTGATCATTCCTTTTTCCCTCATAAATTTATCTAATCCCCATTCAAGACTTAAGTTCGTGACCCTCATATATACTGCATGAGGGCAAAATCCACTAATCTGGGCTCAATAAATCCTTAACCTGGAATAAAGAAACACAATGGCTGTGTTTAGGACAATGTAAGTATTCTCCTTTCATAATATGCTAAACTCATGGTTGAGCCACCTTATTTTAACCTCATCTGGTCTGTTCTATAGAGTAAGATAGAATACAGTCCTCGATTGTAGTCCTCGACTTACAACCATTCGTTTAGTGACTGAGCTTACAATGGCACATAAAAAAATGACTTATGATTGTTTTTCACACTTACGGCCATTGCAAACCTCCCGCCGCCCCCATGGTCACATGATCAGAATTCTGTCACATAGCAACTGGTAGGCATTTATGACACTTGCACTATTCTGAGGTCACGTGATCACCATATGTAATCTTCCCAACTGGCTTCTGACAAGGAAAATTAATGGGGGAAACCAGATTTGCCTAACGGCTGTATTAACAATTGCATGATTGACTTAACAACTGCAATGATTCGCTTAACAACTCTGGCAAAAAAAAGGTCACACATTGGAGCAAAACCCACCTAACAACTTACAAAGGAATAGAAATATTGGGCTCAATTCTGATCGTATGTCGAGGATTACCTATGTGTGAATGACTGATTTTCGTCTACTCTGAACCTTTGAAATTTGATTTATGGGGCCTCAGATTTTAATCACGACAGAAATCTCTTATCTCTGCTTCCATCATAAAAGGAATAATTGTATGTGCCTCTATCACATCTTCTCTTACTTGATTTTTATTTTTTAAGCAAAATAGTCTGATTTTGCTTAAATTAGGCCTCCTAAACTGTTTCAGCCTCTAATCATTTCCATTTTTCATCTTGTACTACCCTGTTTCTCCAACAATATGGCCTCCCCCAATAGGAAGTCCCAGCATGTTTTATAGGCATGAAATGAAATTAAGCCCCTCCCCCCAAATTAAGGCCTATATTAAAACATGCAAAATGGGGGGGAATGGTGGGGGGGCTTGCCATTAGGAAGTACTTTTGTTGCACACCAGGATATGGTGCTGCCTGCGTTGACCCCGATACAAAGTGCCCCACCAACGCCGAGGTCAACATCCAAGCCATCGCCACCCGCCCACCCGAAGATGCAAGGGGGGGAATTAAATCACACACACCCCCGAAAAGACGGCCTAGCCATTTTTTCGGGGCTCAAAAAAAAAGACCCGGCCTTATATGAGAAACACAGTATTTTCCAACTTCAAATAAATGGAAACCTAGTGTTCAGAAACAAGACTTGGAACACCAGGCTTCATATATAAATAAGAGAAGAAGGGAAGGTTTTCAGTAGCTACACTATTGTTGGAGAAAGACTAGACTTTGGTCTCATCTAGCAAGTTCCCTGGAATGCCCTTATGCTAAAGATTACATTTCAAAGAATGCAAACTTTTTGAGCTAATCATTCCCAACATTCACATGTGAATACCATTCCCTGTTAATCTGAGGAAGGGATTATCTAACTCAGAGCTTCCAAACTTGGTTACAATTAACATGTGGGGACTCAGGAGAAATTGCCATCCACCGGAACTCTCTCCTGACTGACAATTCCATTGCTATGCCCCTCTCTGCTTGTGGAGCCATTGACAAAGATATTTCACCTCACCTGGAAGTTAAAGCAACATATGATGCATCATTGGTACATGACCCTGGAGAAATACCATAGAACAGAGGTCTTCAAACTTGACAGCTTTAAGACTTGTGGACTTCAACTCCCAGAATTCCTCCTCCAGTCATTTTAGCTCAGAAATTCTGGGAGTTGAAGTCCACAAGTCTTAAGCTTGCCAAGTTTGAAGACCCTTAATCTAGAATGTATAAAGTAGGAGTCCCCAGGATTAACATGGCTACCTTCCTAAGGGTTCCCAGTCTCTGAATGTAATGAATCCTTGCTCTTCACTGAAGTTCTGGTCTCCCTTCCCTTCCCTTCCCTTCCCTTCCCTTCCCTTCCCTTCCCTCCTTCCTTCCTCCCTTCCTCCCTTCCTGGCATGCTGCTTAAAGGTAAATTTCCTACCTTTTATTAAAGTCAACCTGGATGGAATGATCAATGACTAAATCAGCAGGACACACGGGGTTGATTTTCTCAGGGTTACCTTCCAGGGCCTTCACTGCATCACGCATAGCAGCAAAATCAACCACTGCCGGGACACCTCTGCAACAAGAAAGTAAAACAAACAAACAAAAAACGCAAGGAAAATTTGTCAAAAACTGATAGCCCAGGGGCTGCAGAAATGTGCAAGTAAGATTTTGAACTCAACACACGCACGCAAGCAACACTTTCGCAAGGTCCAGAGTTGGAGCTGCGAAGTGAAGAATGGTAGCTAGATTCAACACACCCGAATGTGCTATAAGAGCAAACACCCTGGTTCAATAGAAAGAACTTTCCAAACAAACAAGCTCCAGAGTCATGTTTTACTTTCCTTGTTCCTTCTCCTGTCCTTTTACAATTTGTGTTGTAGCATTAACTCTAATTATCTGTGGTTATCTGAGCTGGCAAGCTCTAGGTCCTGTTAATAGGCAAACGCCAGAGATTGCTGACTTATTCACTTGTGGAAAGTATTGGTTTGTAGATACTATGGTAGTGCTGACTGCAAATCAAACAGCAAAAGAGGAGAAAAAAAATGTCTCTAATTCTCCAAACTGCAATCAGGTACATTAATTGCCCATGAAACTGTTCTTTCTTGCAGATATATTGATACTATGGTACAACTCTCAGAAGACCATAATCAATAGTGTTTTTTTTTAGTCTAAATCTATGCAAAACATTTTTTCCAGTGCTGTTGTAACTTGGAACAGTCACTAAATGAATGGTGGTAAGTTGACTACCTATAGTTATTTTGGATATTTATTTGAATATTAAGCAAACTTTTTGCAACCAAATGTTTGAGACTCAAATCACAAATAGATCCAGGGACTGGGAGGAGGAAGAGGAGGAGGAGATTAATGTGAAAAAAAAGTCCTAGTTTTAATGCAATTTGTCACAGGCAGTAAACAAGCTAGAACTCTTACAGCATTATCCCAGAATCCTTTTTATCTCATCACAGCTCAAGCCCAATAAATGAATAAATGAGCCTGGCACTAAATTTATATTTTATATAACTTACAATACACTGAAGAAGAATTGGGAGAGATTATTCTAATTCTACACCCTCAAAGCATCTGCACAAATATCAATTCCTCCAATGGAAAATAAGAAAATTATTCAAAACCATAATTAAATCTACAACTAATAATGTTGTGGATTATCCAAAAATGTAGTTGCAAAGAATTTGTTCAGACACTGCTACTACTTAGGATAATTACACAGCAATGTCTGAACAAATCCTTTGCAAGTACATTTCTCCAACATCAGCAACTCAAATTCATCTGGAATGCTTTCCAAAAATTGCTATTAGTTGTTTTCTTAAGAGTAAGACCACACAACAGGTTTAGTAAAAGTTGGAACAGAATTTAGTGATTCCATTCCCACTACATTATGTTTGTTTTAGAAACAGTATTTTTAGCTAGGACAGATTCTCACAGGTAATTGGGAAAAAAATGAAAGTTGTTTTGGAAGAAAATAAGCCTACTATAGAATGAATGTTCATGAATATGTGGCAAACTTTTAATACATAAGAATCAAAATGTATGCAACATACAGCCAGACTCTAGAGTCCAAAGTTTTACATAACTGTAGTACTTAGGTTGTAATGAAAAAGCATATATTAACCATAGTTTAAGAAAACCGAGAGATTCTACTCTTGCAGTGATGTTTCTATCGAAGTGTTATTCGTTCACATTTACACAATTACACAGCCTTCGTATGCAAGGATTTTGATTCACAATAACTGTTATTGCTTTGAGAAAAAAAAATGGCCACTGTGTACATTGTATAAGATGGCATTTCACAGACTGCCATATAAGGTTCAAGGCAGGTACTGAGTAACCACAATGTTAGGAAGGACTGCTGTGTTAACCCTGTTCCAAATATATCTTCTGCATTCAGAAAAACAGCATATAGCTTGTCAGGAAAAAATGCTAGTTCAAATCTTTCTTCCTGACATAATAGATTCCACATGTGAACAGAGGTACCAAGTCAGGGGAGTAGCACCAATGTCAAAATGGAAGATTCCTGGGCCTTATCAAAACTATTTAATACGCTCAAGCTTCACATAATATTTTCTCATTTAGGAATAAAGCTTAAAGGAATGAAAGAAGACCAAGATAATGATCAGAAAAACTAAAACTTGAGCCAAGACAAGAAAATAATTTGCAAAAATGCCTCAGATAGCACCCAACTCAATTCTTATGAAGGTAAAATAAAAACTTTCCCCACTTACACCCAAACATGATGCAAGCATACCCTATCAATACCGTTTTTTAATCATGCCCCCAGAATAGTCATCTTTTTCCCAGCACAGAACAGATATTTTAAAATGCATCTGTCCCAGTTTTTAGCAACTATCTACAAGATACACTTATTTTTTCATGTAGAAATAAATGCAATCTTCCTTTTAAAATTCCATAACAAGATCTGAAAATATGATGAAATGATCCTGATCGAGTGTAAGAAAAATGGAAAACACCAGATATAATATCTTTATCTTTATTTGGCATGGCATTAATACTGTATTCCCTTGAATACATTACTTCCCCTCCCTTTTATTTTAATGTTCTGGGTTTTTTTTTTTACAATACTTAAAACATTCCAGATGTTTTCAGTTCTTTTATTTATTGAATGGTTTAATATTTTAAATTTTATCTTGCTACTGGTTCTGCATTGCTTTTCTGTACGTTTTCAGATAAGCTGGCTGGCAATTATTAAGTTTTGTAGGATTATTAAGTTTTGTAGGATTTTAGTTCAGTACTGCCCGTTTTTAATGATTGTATGGTATGTAGCAGGGGTCTCCAACCTTGGTAACTTTAAGACTTGTGGACTTCAACTCCCAGAATTCCTCAGCCAGCAAAGCGAAGCTGGCTGAGGAACTCTGGGAGTTGAAGTTCAGATAATTCATTCAAGTTTAGCTTGCAAAAATATTCAAAAACAGAGATTTAAACATAATCGAGATGTTAAAAAATGCAGCAGGTGTTAATAATTGGCAGAGATGTGCTATCACTGACATTGCCTTGAATGTAAAGATGCTTTCGTAAAGTTTGCTCAAATGCAAACTCCGACCTTGGTCACCAAGCCAAAGACTACAGAAATCAGAACTCTGTCCTTTGCTTGTCACTGATTTCCAGGCTGTGACTCTACCTGAGGTGAATGTTTCTTCCCTTCTAGGAGGAAACATGACCAGAGGATTCTCAAATTTGCTTTTCAGGTTTAAGGTGGTACTAATGAGAGTAAGTTTTACCATGATACAAGGTAGGTTATTTTTAAAATTATATCCCACATATTAAAGACCATTGGTTCAAGGGGAAGAAAGTGATTTCATGTAACAGTTGTTTTTGGAACAGCACTCCTTAAAAACCAGGAGACGCGATGTTAGTTTTTTTTCTCTATTGAGAAAAAAAAACTTAGTCAATTTGTATTGAATTGACAATTTGTATCAGGTAGGCAGACATGATAGCAACAGCAATAACACTTAGACTTATATTCTGCTTCGCTTTTACAGCCCTCTCTAAGTGGCTTACAAAGTCAGCATCTTGCCCCCAGCAATCCGGGTGAGACTCGAACTGCCAAACTGCTGGCAGTCAGCAGAAGTAGCCTGCGGTACTGCATTCTAACCACTGCGCCACTATGGTTCAATAAATCTTGTAATTCCTAACTAACTTAATCATTCTGAAAATTCTGAAAGTTGAATTTTATATATTTTAGAGGGTTCTCAAACTGGAAATAAATTAGTTGCATGCTGCTCCTTACTAGCCAACTACAACCCAACACCTGGTTTTATAGTCTACTGAAATATCAAAAGGCCATGATTTTGGTGAATTTTGCTTGAGATATTCATTCATGAGCATGAACTGAATATTTTCCTAAAAACAGACCAATGCTGTCTGTTTAGAAGTCTTCATCCCAGTGCAATTTGTAGTACAGGCAATCCTCAATTTAAAACCATTCATTTAGTGAATATTCAAAGTTTACAGTGCCACTGAAAAAAGCAACCTATGACCATTTTTCACGTGACTGTTCCAGCATTCCCGTGTTCATGTGATCAAAATCTGGATACCTGACAACAGACATGTATTTAAGACTGTTGCAGTACCTCAGGGTTATGTGATCACCTTTTGTGACCTTCTGACAAGCAAACTTAATGGAGAAGTCATACACATACACACACAACTCACGTAAAATCTTGCAGAATAACCCGAGCAGGCTTAAATGGCACTTCAATATTTTTGTGCTGCATCACTTTCCAGTTGAGGATATTTTCAACGTCGTTTTTCTTCACAAGAAACTCGTCACAGTTGCGAATTGCAGCCTCGAGCAAGATTCTGATAGAAAATGGTAAATGTGCTGGGAAAGAAAGGAAAAGGGAGGGGAGGAGAGAATGAAATTGAAAAGAAGACTCAGAAAAAGAAGCTGAGATTTTCAAACTTTTGTCTCACATCAAAGAGGGAGCATCTCTCTGAGTGAAAACCAAAGACACAATACAGAACACTCTTCTCATTTGGGCACACTCCAGATGTTAACTCCCACAATCGCCATCCGGCTACACATCGATGAAAATTCTGGAGGTTGAAATTCACATCTCTCCGGAATATACAGATGGAGAAGACTGATACAGAAATTAAACCAGACTTCTACAATCTCTGGATCTAGAGATTTACAATCTTTTAGACTGGGGGTGTCAAACTCGATTTCATTGAGGGTCACATCAGGTTTGTGTTTGTCCTCAGGGGGCTGAGGTGGGGTGGCTGTGGCCAGATTGACATCACTTGTGTCGGGGGCGCCAGTGGTGGCCTGAGCACCCTGCCAGCCAAAATGGGCTCCCGAGCTCTGTTTTCGGCTGTGATGACCTCCTGCAACCCTCTGCCAGCAAAAATGAAGCTTAGGAAGGCCACATGCTGGCAGAGGGTTGTAGGAGGCCATCACAGCTGAAAACAGTGCTCAGGAGCCCATTTTGGCTGGCAGAGGCACCGTGGGCTGGTCCTTCACTGTTTCCACGGCAGCCCTATGGGCTGGATCTGGCCTACGGGCCTTGAGTTTGACACCCCTGTTTTAGATCCAACAACTAATAATTCTGGAACTTGGAGACCCACCCCATTGGGGAAGCTGTAATATAAAGGAAAAGATATGACTTTCTGTAATAAACAGGGAGAAAGTGACCTCTATACATATGGAGATTGGTAGCAAGTATACGTGTGAAACCGCAAGGGGTTGGGTTGCCTGATGAAAGCCACTTGGATGGTTAGGAGAAATATTTCTCCATACTTTTCACCCAAAATAGAAAAAGTGTTTTCAGATCTTTGATCCAATATGTTTTCTTCTGAAAGGTAATAATGCTTAAAAACCAGCCCTTCCATACTTCAATTTTCTGTCTGGAGATGAAAAGTCCTAAAATCTGACACTTTTTGCTTGTGTTTTCCAATGAGCTATGGGTCTCTAAAGGATAAAGCCAAAGCGATCATCAAGAACCATCAACAGATGAGAGCATTGTGAAGGTAGAGGTGAATTCAGGCATGGGACAAACCCTTTTGACTATAGCCAACATACCATATCTGGCATCTTTCAAATGATTCAGATTGAAGAACTTCTTTGCTGACTGGTCCAGGTCCAGAGGTTCCGTGAGATGTGCAAAGGGGTTGCTCATGGTTGTAAAGTTTTGTTACTACTGAGAAATAAAAAACAGGTTTATATCACTGGATTTTATTTTAAGAGTTTTTATTTATTTGCATCCCACCTTTATTTTTTTATAAAGAACAGGTGAACATATCCAACATATCTTCCTCCTATTTTTTTCATGGCAACAATCCTGTGAGTTGGGTTGACCTGATTGAGAGTGGCTGGCTCAATTGCTAAGGCAAAATTGGACTCATGATCTCTGGCTTTCTAGCCTGCTGCCTTAACCCCTAGTAGACCAAACTGGTTCTTAAGACGATCAATTTAAATATGTCTAGGATATACTTGGGGCAAGTATTTTTCCCCTGGTTAGAGATCCATATTATTCTTTTTCTTTTCTTTCTTGACAACTGAAGATCTTAGTGCTGAAGAAATAGATTTCCTGCTTTTTTTTAAACCTCATGAGCCTTTTTTTTAAAAAAGAAACCTATTTTAAAAGTCTAAGGCAAATCACATTAATCCTAAAATCCACAAAATCGTATTTTGCACATTAAGAGGAGGTTTTAGGGATTTTGAAAAAAAAAAGCCACAACCAATAGGTGGTTCCCAATCCATGCTGCACATCAGTGGCCTCTAAACTTAATAACCATAAGACCTGAGGACTTCAACTCCCAGAATTCTCTAGCCATCTGACTGAGGGATTCTGGGAGTTGAAATCACACAAGTCTTAAAGTTGCCAAGTTTGGAAACCCCTGCTGTAAATGATCAAATAAGGTAGTCCTCAGCTTACAACAGTTCGTTTAATGACCGTTCAAAGTTACAATCTGATGAAAATTCAGGCGCTTGGCAACAGACTCATGTCTAGGATAGTTGCAGCATCTCAGGGTCAACTGATCAGCTTTTGCGACCTTCTGACAAGCAAAGTCAATGGAGAAGCCAGATTCACTGAACAACCACGTTACTAATTAACAACTGCAGTAATTCATTTAACCACTGTGGCAAGAAAGGCTGCAGAATGGGGCAAAACTCACTTAACATATATTTCACTTAGCAATGTAAATGTTGGGCTCAATTGTCGTAAGTCGAGGACTATCTGTACAAACACATCTGTCTACGCAATTCATACTTTGGGGACCAATACAACGTTTACAAAGTTTTAACAAAATATCTGTTTGGGGTATTATTGCTATGATAAAGTCAAACTATATTGGCAACTTTTATTTAAAGTCAGCTTATATTTAAAGTCAGCTGCAACCCCACAGAAAAAATAAAACTAATTTCTGGGCAGAAATAGCAATAACACTTAGACTTATATATCGCTTTATAGTGCTTTATAGCCCCCTCTAAGCAGTTTACAGAGTCAGCATATTTTCCCCCAACAATTTGTGTCCTCATTTTACCCACCTTGGAAGGATGGAAGGCTGAGTCAACATCCATTACTCTGTTAATAATTTTGAAATTAAGATCTGCACTAAACGGAAATTAATGTGGTGTCATATAAATTATTTGTTACTGTATTAGTATTTAAGAAATTTTAAAAGTTCCATATTTTTCTGGGTATGTGTATGTGTACTTTCTTTAACAATAAAAAAAAGAGTACATTATCTTACTAATTTGTATCATGTATACTACTAAAATATGTATTACTATTATATTTTTCTACAACATTTTTCAGATACTTAAAGCACTTCCTATACTTCAGCTAGGTAGAGTCCTTGTAGGATAAATCCAACTCTGTTATTCTGAATCAATTTATAAGTATTATAGATTCCCATATTTTCTGTTATTAACTAACACAGCTCATTGCAATTCTGACATAGATGAGATTCAAGCATTTTACAATCCATAATTTAGACTCTTAGCCTTATGCCAGTTCTTCCGCTTATGCAATAGCAAAATTTAATAAATTATTGTTTTAATAAATTATTGCTGTTTTTTAAAATTATTATTGCGTAGTTGAAATGATTTGAAAAGACAACAATCAGCACCAGTTTGACTGCACATTTTGTGTTTATGCAGCATTACTTATAAAAGAACACTTTAATTCTATAAAGTTTAAATACAACAGATATGTCAACAAACATATCAGTATTTAAACCATCACAAGAAAAGGAGGGCAATTTGTATTCAGACATAGATCACTGCTTGCTGAATATTATTTGTAAAAGAGAAACCAAGGTAAGGACAAGATATACTTTTTAATCCAGCTCAAAAATCAATGAACCATTTATGAGATAATAGAATTGAAAACTAATTTATAAAGGATTGTTTTTAAAAACAAACTGTAGAATAATTACCTTTTTAAAATCAACTCCCTGTTCTTCTAAAAGCAATTTAGTGTTGGCGTAAAAACATATGCAATTACTTCTCTGCTTTGAGGCTTTTGAACAAAAGGAGGCAGTTATATTACATACAGAGTAAACACCAGGGCACCAAAGATAAGGATATCTGGACTGAAGTTCATGGTTTGCAGTACTATAGACACCATTCGTTGCCTTGCAATATCCCAACTGTAACCTGACCTTACAGAAATCAATTGAAAAGCTGTAGCTGGCCTCAAAAGGGATCTGAACTTTAAACGTGCTACGTGGATATAAGCTCCAGAATGTTCTGCAGTTTTCAGCTGCAGGAAGGATGATACCAATTGATAGAATGATGCTTTTGATCATTCATCCTTCTCATTATACATTCTAAACAAACAGACCATTTTCATTAGAGACAACCTACTATCCAAACTGCAGTAAATGGACACCATTTAGCATCAAGGCTTTGTCAACCCTGAAGCTGGCCTGACTTGAGGCCATTTTGAAACTTCAGTGCTGGCACACTGAAGGAGAGGGATAGGGAGGGGGGAATGGAGATGGTTGGGGTGTTATAGTCAAAACAAAATACTTTCTCTCGAGAACCAAGGACATTCCTGTAGGTGCTCGGAAGGAGGGAATTGGAGTCACCTAGCAACTGGACAGTATCTTGATTGGACCATGTGACTGTTTTGAGAAAGTGACAAATTTTTACTGTTAATTAGGTGAAAACCGTGGGAAGGATCAGAGTTGGTTTTCGCCAGCCTGTGACAATATGACATATTCAATAAACCTATTCTCTGAGGAAATTGCCTGCCTCAGAGTTTTGTTTGCTATGGGTATGTTACTTGGAACCCTGGCAGACTTATTGTAAAATTATGTCAACAGCTGGAGAAATACAGGTAATCCTTGACTTACGACCACAATTGAGCCCAAAGTTTATATAGCTAAGTGAGACATTTATGAGTGAGTTTTGCCCCGTTTTACAACCTTTCTTGCCCCATTTGTTCAGCAAATCATGGCCATTGTTAAGTTAGTAACATGGTTTTTTAAAGTGAATGTGGCTTCCCCATTGTCTTTGCCTGTCAAAAGGTCACAAAAGGGAATCACACGACTCTGGAACACTGAAACTGTCGTAAATATGAGTCAGTTGCCAAGCATCCAAATTTTGATCAGGTGGCCACCGCGATGATGCAACGGTCCTAAGTGGGAAAAATGGTCATAACTTACTTTTTTCAGTGCTGCCGTTAACTTTGAACGGTCACTAAAGGAACTAGTGTAAGTCGAGGACTACCTGTACTCCAACCCTAAAAACAGTAATTGGACTGGAAATATCTGCTGCTAAGCAATGGAGTCAGATAGGACAACCTTATAGGACTGAATTGCTTAGCAATCCCAGCACCCCCCACTGCCGTTAACTGAACCCCATTGGTCATTAGATGAGTGCCCCTCCCCAATCCAAGTCATTCCCAGCTTGTTCCCTCTCAGTCCTGCTGCCTGGGCAAATTACTGACCATTTTGCTCAAGAGGGGAAAAACTATTAATCTTGAGCACCTGCGCTCCTTTGAATTGTGAATCTTTCATCTGGGCATTTAGAATCTGAAACACTAAAAGTTCTGGGGATTTAGCATAGAATTCTGATTTGCTTAGAATGCTATTTTTATTTGAACAAGGAAATTTAACCTGAACCCTCAAATTTAAACCAGTTCTGGTTTTTCACCTGTCAACAGAACTCATCTGTCCATAAAAATGCTACAGAGTTTTTTTTTGGTTGGAAATTATCTCAGATCTATATGTAGGATCAATATTTCCATTTATCAATTTTCCAGGAACATCTAAAAATGGCTGCCTTTGCCTTTTGTCTATGGCACAGTGAACATGTCCTCCTGGTTGATCGTTTTTGGGGCCCATGTGGTTGATGATGATGAAAACAACCTTCCTTCACACAGGTTGTTTCGAACTGGTTGTGCAAACTTACCATTCCAGAATCAGATCTCGCAAACTTAACATTCTAGAAATGCCAAAGCCACAAGATCTGAAGTAATCCACAGTCTATACAATCTATCAACTAGGCATCAGTGTTTAAGACTACTAAGCTTAAATCACAAGACACTTCTCTTAATTGGCCTGAATTACTTGGAGGAGGGCGCTTCAAAAAAGAATGGGACTCTAACATTAAAACAAAGACTTTAGAAGAGTTATGCCTTGATCAGTTCACTCTGTATCTGCTTTCTTCTAATTATTAACCCCTTCCAGTTCCTCACTTTGTAATGATTATTCCCCACTGGTTTTATTTTCAAAATGGTTAAGACTGGAATTCTTATTTTCTGACATTAGGAGTGAACAAATGAAGGACAGGAATCTTCTGCTCATTGGACGGAAATATATCCCAAGCCAATTGTACATTTTGGCCCACAGTAACAGAAACAGGGAAGGGAGAAAAAGGTCTGTTTGTTTGTTAGGGTTTAAAAACAACAACACCTTGCCATGAGATGGATCAAATCCTGCATTCTTGGCCATTAAGCACTTTCTTATTTCTTCTCATATGGAGGAAAAAATCCTTGACTTGTATTGCCAAAATAGCTCCATCAACATACCAGAAGGTTTAGGGATACACAAGGGAAACCAAGATTTCTACAGAAGCAAATGAAATCTTCACCCAAACTTCACAAAGAAAAGGCAACCAGCAAAGGGCAGGCTAATCCAATGAAGACTGAACCTGCTCAACTACTTCAATCAAGATGCTTAGGCA